CTAATTCTAGGGCTATTGAAATATTGCAACCTTTATTTTGTGTGTATGCTCAATCTTTTCTACTCCATCAGCGTTGTGCATGTCATATAATTAATTTGATTGTTAAGACTGGCATGAAGAGGGTAGGTGACCACATCGATGCTGTTCGTCAAGCAATCGCGTGGTTAACTGCTTCTAACCCGCGGATTGCTGCATGGAAGAGGTTTTGCAATGCGGCCGGTGTGAAAGCTCGTAAGTTTGCCACCGATGCAGAGCATCGGTGGAATGCAACGTATTTAATGTTAAAAGTTGTTTTACCTTATAGTAGTTTACTTTCTGATTTTGTTCAGTCACGTGGTGGCCCAAGAAACAGTGACGGGTCTTCAGTACTGAACGAGCATGTTTGGGCAATTGTCCAAAAATTTCACCAATTTCTAGAAACTTTTTATGATTGTACTCTAACTTTGTCACAAGTTTATTATCCAACTGCTAATATAATTTTGCACAACCTTATTGAAATTGCTACTTTATTTAAAGAATACGAAAATGATGACGTTCTAACTGAACCTGTCTTTCACATGAAACAAAAATATTTGAAATATTGGAAAAATATACCTATATTGTATGCTTTTGCTTTTGTTTTAGATCCTAGGTGTAAATTAAGGGGATTGTCTGCTATTTTATCACTTGTTGGAGATACTATAGGTGTAGATTATAGTTCTTTTTATACTGAGGTTAGACGTAAATTATATGAGGTTTTTGGAAGATATGAAGTAAAGTTTCAGGAAGTTCGCCAGCAGAGACCCCCTCCTATCCCCACTACAGGTAAGAAGAAGATACAGTGGGGTAGGATTTGGGGTGGATCGTCTTCAATCCAAGGTGGTGGCAGTTCGTCGGCTACAAGTGGAGACGCCTCTTCGCATGTTGTGGCCGAAGAGTTGTCCGGTTATTTGGACAGCGACGCCATCCACCACGAAGCACAAGATTTCAACGTCCTCGGGTGGTGGAATGACCACAAGATAACATATCCTGTGCTTTCAAAACTAGCACGGGATGTGTTGACGGTGCCCGTGTCGACGGTGTCCTCCGAATCGGCCTTCAGTCTATGCGGCCGAATCATCGAAGACCGGAGGACGACTCTGCGCAGCGACCACGTCGAAATGCTACTAAGCGTTAAAGACTGGGAGCTTGCTCGACAACATGCCCAATACACTGCGGACAACCAAGAATTGGCCGCCCAGTTCGAGCAACTCTACCTGGATCCAGACCAACCCCAGTAGAATTTTGTTAGAAGTAGTTCTGACCTTTGAGCTGTACTCTTTTCTTTGTCATGGTTTTCTCATTTTCCCCTATGAGTTTTTACATGACAAAGTTTTTAACGAGGCAGCATGTATCATTGTATCCTGTAATGATATAAACATCAATAAAGGTCATTACTATTTTTAACAAATTCTTTTGCAATATTTTCGCAAGTGTGGATTTATCTTTAAATTATTTCAAAATAATGAATCACAATCTATATTTTTAAATTTTTCAACACAACAAAAAAATACCATTTTTTCTTTTTTTTAACATTAGCAAATCATTACTTTTTTAAAAAACTTTTATTTCCATTTTTTAAATACCATTTTTTCATTTTTTAACATTAGTAAATCATTACTTTTTTTTAAACATTTTATTTCCATTTTTAATTTTTTTTCCTTATACATTTCCTTTGCTTTTTTTTAAAAAAAACACTGTGCACTGGCGGCCTGGCGGCTGGCGGCCTGGCGGCCAGTGCAGCTCAGCTGCCGGCCTGCCTTCACGGGCCGCCGTGCCCCGAACGGCCCGTGGGCCGCAGGCGTGCCGTGCCGGCACGGGCACGGCCCGGCCATCCACGGGCCGTGCTTGGGCCGGCGGCTCGGCACGTGGGCCGGCACGGCACGGCCCGTTTCATCAGCCGTGCCTAACGGGCCGTGCCGAAACGGTCCGTGCCGGACCCGTGCCCGTGCCGGGCCGGGCCGTGCCGCCCGTTTGGACACCTATACCTCTGGTATTCCCTTGCGTTTTGATCGTGTAGCCCAATACGACGGCCCAAACCCAAACTCCAATCCCAGCGGGCCCACCAAGTCAGCCTCACACCTTCTTCTTCTTCTTCTCCCTGTCTGTCTCTGTCTCTAACCTAAACCCACACCTCGCGCGCCGCCGCCGCCGCAAGCCGTTCCGCCGCCTTGCTCTCCTCCTCCCCGACGCCGAGTCCTCTTCGTGTGAGCTCGCACTCGCAGCGCAGCAATGGCGATCAAGCGGACCAAGGCGGAGAAGAAGGTGGCGTACGACAAGAAGCTGTGCCAGCTTCTGGACGAGTACACCAAGGTGCTCATCGCCGTCGCCGACAACGTGGGATCCAACCAGCTGCAGGAGATCCGCAAGGGGCTCAGGGGCGACTCCATCGTCCTCATGGGCAAGAACACCCTCATCCGCCGCTGCATCAAGGTGCACGCCGACAACACCGGCAACAAGGACTTCCTCGAGCTCATGCCCCTCCTCGTCGTAAGTTCACCTTCTTCTTCTTTCTTTTTTTTTTCTTTCCCATGTACATGCCTCGACTCGACTCCACGGTTTTTCTTGACCTGTTTTTCTTGTTGTTTGTAGGGAAACGTTGGTCTCATCTTCACCAAGGGTGACCTCAAGGAGGTCCGCGAAGAGGTCGCCAAGTACAAGGTTGGCTTTCAATCTGTGTTCAATACACTGCAAGAATAGATTAGTGTTTTCAATACACTGCAAGAATAGGATAGTTTAGTTATGGTGATTGTGTAGTACTAGTTTTTATTGAAAGGGATGCATTGGGTTTCAAGGGCATAATTTGATCTGTGAGTGAAATTGGTGGAGAGTTATGAAAATAATAAATATGCCAATTTGACGCTTGATGGAGTCCTGCTAGTTTATGTGAGCCTGTTACTTAAATATAGTGTAAAATGTTTATCACTTTGAATTTAGCTCTGTGTGGCATTTTATCCATATGGATCGTATATATTCTGTGTGTGTGTGGTATTATTAGATGTTCTGTGAGATGTGAAATTACAATTTTCAACCTTATGTAACTTCTCCAATGCTATTTATGTCTCAAGTATTCCATTGGTTATATCATGATGTGATGCCATAGATAACAGTACATATAGCTATTGGGTCATGATGTGAAAAGTTGACTTAGGTGCGAGTTGATGTTCAAGTCTCTAGCTGGTTTATCCTTCTATTGTCACTGCAATCTTTTTCCTACTACAATGTAGCTTGTACTGGACTGATCTCTGTGAGAATTCTAACTAGGTCATTATGTTGTGATGAACTTGTGATGCTATCAATGAGCAAATAACCCTGATCTTGTTTTCGTTATAAAACAGGTTGGAGCTCCTGCTCGTGTTGGTCTGGTTGCTCCTGTTGATGTGGTGGTTCCCCCTGGAAACACTGGTCTGGATCCCTCCCAGACTTCTTTCTTTCAGGTGATCATTTGTAGATGTGTTAACCATAGTTTATCTTCGCAGTCAAATACAAGTTCTCACTGTTCTCTCTTGTTACAGGTGCTTAACATCCCCACCAAGATTAACAAGGGTACCGTGGAAATTATCACCCCTGTGGAGCTCATTAAGAAGGGTGACAAGGTTGGCTCCTCTGAGTCTGCCCTGCTTGCCAAGCTTGGTATCCGCCCCTTCTCATATGGGCTGGTGATCACCAATGTGTACGACAGTGGGTCAGTCTTCAGCCCTGAGGTGCTCGACCTCACTGAAGAGGACCTGATGGAGAAGTTTGCATCTGGTGTTTCGATGGTTGCCTCAGTGTCCCTGGCAATCTCATACCCAACTATTGCTGCTGCGCCACACATGTTCCTCAATGGGTACAAGAATGTGCTTGCTGTTGCTGTGGAGACCGAATACTCATACCCACATGCTGATAAGATCAAGGAGTATTTGAAGGTAACCTAGTTTCTATTTCATAATTTCCCTTTTTGATGTCTAAATGCGTAAGAATTGTCTAAGGTAGTCTGATAATTAGATTGCGGTACTAAGCTGTAGCATGCCCATGTCTTGGCACAAACTTATTTGTTCTGGTCTTAACAATCAATCAATCTATCATTGAGAATTTCATGGTTGAGTAAGAAACTGAATTATTAATGATAGCTATTTCACTTAGTTTGATATGCCTTTAGTGCTTTTAGCTCTTTCTTGAGAATACAGTTTACTTTTCTTATTCACGATGCAGACTCAGTTAAATATTGATACTGGAAGCTAAGTTAATGCTGATTTTTAAGAACTTGGGTATTTCACCACCACAGTTTCTTACATATTTGTCTTGCCTATTCTTCTCAGGACCCCAGCAAGTTTGCTGTTGCTGCCGCTGTTGCTGCTGCTGACAGTGGCGCTGCTGCTCCAGCTGCTTCCAAGGAGGAAGAGAAGAAGGAAGAGCCCGAGGAGGAGTCTGACGGTGACCTGGGCATGAGCCTCTTCGACTAAGCCCCTGCTGCCAAGTCAAAAGTTTTGTTTCAGTTCTGAATATCAAATTTTGTTTATAATCTTTAGCGTATTAAGCTTGTGCTAGTCAAGAACCATGTTGGACTTAGCGTGTATATTCAACAATGTTATCTTTATTATGCAATTCGGTTGTGCCCGTATTCCTCTCGTGTTCATGGTGTGCTTGTGCGATGGTTATCTTTCTGTTCATCCTTTTGTGCAATTGTTACTAGATTTTTTTTTATTTTTATAACCTTTTTAATTTTAAATTTTAAAAATAAACCATTCCAAAATCTTAACCTTTTGATAACGCACAGCCTGTCTGACGTTGCAAAACAATACTAACACGTCATTGTTGGCCCGGCCGGTGGTCTCTTACGAATAGTTCTGATTAGTATTATGGCGTCCCAGAACTAAACTGTCTCAGTAAGATGCAGATACGTGCATCAAGCTAGACTTCCAATCCTGACCGTCGATTTTAGATTGGACGGCAGGTAAAGCGGCATGTGCTCGGCGTAGAGTATATATGAAGCAGAGGCAGCCATAGGTTCAGGTTCAGCACTTGTGCTCGAGTGGGCAGTTTTGCAGTAGCAGAGGAGATCGATCAATCAATCGAGGATCAGCGGCGAGGAGGAGGCGGCGGCGCCGCTGCTGCTGCTGCCGGCGGCGGCGGCGGCGGCGGAGGAGAGGTGCCCGGGGTGCGTGCAGGAGCAGAGGAAGGCGAGGCGCGGAGGGCGGATCCCCTACACGGAGCTCTTCTTCGTCGCCGTTACCACACTCGCTTCGTGTAATTCATTCCTTCTCTATTTCTACCTGCATTATCGAACGTTGCACTTCTTGTTAGTTCTTAATTACATCAACATCCATCCTTAAATCTCACTCTTTCTACTGCATGCGCAACATCAATATATGCTAGAAACGCAAAGCTAGCCTATATATTAACCCATGTTATCATCATGTTTTCGGCTCATTCATGTTCGTCATCTGACATGCATCAATGTAAGAACATATAATCGAAAACAAAATGTAAGAACATATAGATAGCTACCTGTTGGATTGATGCATTTGATCATAAACATATAGTTTTATCGCCGGAGAGATGGACGAGATGAAGGGTATCGATCACGAACATGGTATCCAACAAAGACTGGCAAAAAAAAAAAAGGTTGCAACTTGGATCTCCAACTATAAGTTGACAAAAAGTAAACTGGGATATATTCCCTCCTTCCCCTACGTGACAAAATGACAGCTTAATTAGCTCCCTTCACTATCCCGGCGAGAAAGAACAAATATATACTAATAATGTTGCATGCTAGGCTAACTAAATTATAAAATCATACATAACGCTTGACTTGAAGATCAAACATGTATATTCAGGACAACAGTTAAGTTCTTTGATACATTCTAGCACCATGAATCTATGTGATTATGTACGTACATCATAAAGCCTAACCACCCACCAACAGCAGCATAAGTAAGCACATGTTGCTTGTCCTGAACATTCTTCAGATTAAAGTTAAACAATACCAACAGCCCGGATTTATATGTTTGTTCCATTCATGGTGCTAGCTGCAACTCGTTTCTGATCTATTGCTTTCTCTGTCTTATAATTGCAGCTTTACCAATCACGTGCCTCTTCCCTTTCCTCTACTTCATGGTAAGTACGTAGTATTATACTTCTCGTCTTCTCCACATAATTATCTGATCACGCACTTTCATCTACAGTTATATCAGTACCACCAGCTACACTGCTTTGCCTCATTCCTAATTTCACTCTGAACCCTTGATAATTTAGAACATTTCACACACATTTCCCTCTTAACCATACCATTTGGTTGCAGAACTTCTCTCATAAGACATTCCAACGGATATCCTTCACAGTTTTGCTTTCAGTAAAACTTGAATTGGATAGTCCTTTGTCTAAATGAAAAACTCAAAGCCTTCACTGAATTTCTGACACTTTCACTTCGTGCATCAAACCATCATCTTCAAATCTATGTAGCATATATAACAGGAGTGCCTGTGCCGTAGTTCTCTTGATCAAGATCTATGCTGGTTCACTCAAGTAGCATCTCAATGACCCACTTTTGACATATTAAATAGGCTAGCTTATTCTGTCCTCTGTTTTCATAGGTAAGGGACCTGCAAGTAGCACAAACAGAGGAGGACATTGGGAATTATGCTGGATTTCTCGGTATAGTTTCTCACATCAATTCACAATTATTTATTTAAAAAATAGCTATAGTGACCTGTGAGAAATGCAATTTAAATATGTGTATACATTCATTTATTGGTGGTTTGAAATGAAGGTGCTTCATACATGGTCGGTAGATCCTTTGCCGCGATCTTTTGGGGTGTTGTGGCAGATCGTATAGGAAGGAAACCTGTCATTATGTTTTCAATATTGTCTGTGTAAGTCACAATTGAGTATAACAACAAATCTATCAGTCACTTCAGGGTCATACTTAGCTTTCCATTTGTGTACTGTAGGGTCATATTTAACACACTATTTGGACTAAGTACAAAGTATTGGATGGCACTTACTACAAGATTTGTTCTAGGTGCTCTAAATGGTTTACTTGCGCCAATAAAGGTACTTAAAAGTCTTCCAAGTGATAATATCAACATTATTCATGTGCCTAGGAGGGAGCTTTGCTGACAGTGTTTATCAACCATTACAGGCTTATTCTATTGAAGTTTGCCAAACTGAACATCAAGCTCTTGGACTCTCCATTGTAATCTCACAAGCAACTATTTTGTTTTCCCCATTGTGTTCCACAATCCTTTCAATATGCACCATTATAAAGCTGTTATGATTTGCTTTGATCATAGGTTAACACAGCATGGGGTTTGGGTCTGGTTGTTGGTCCAGCTCTTGGAGGCTACCTTGCACAGGTACTAATTTCAAAAAAAAAAAAAAAAGGAAAAGGAAAAGGAACTAATATTTGGTTTCTTACATCGTCTGCTTCCTTCTCAGCCTGTTGAAAAATATCCACATATATTTTCTAAGGAGTCAGTTTTTGGTAGGTACGTCATACACTGATACAAGAGCAAGATATAAGCCCAAACTGCTTGCAGTTAGTGTTGTAACTACTAACTACCCATATCTAATTTCATTACATTTTGCAGATTTCCATATCTCTTACCTTGCCTTGGTGTATCATTGTTTGCTGCTATTGTTCTAATAAGTTGTATTTGGCTTCCGGTATGTAAAGTTTCACTTAAATGCCATTTCCCCAATGTTTTTTAAGCAAATTCTAGCACCAAATGTTCGTTACTTGGCCCGTTTCTGTGGTCTAGTTAATTTCACAAAAAAAAATATTGGATTAAGATGCACCTCTTTTCAGAAACTGTCCCTCTGTTACTTATATTTACTAATACTGAAAATGCCATGCATTGGCTTTAAATAACTTCAGCCCCAACTGCCAAACATCTCCTGTATATCCGAGAAGAAAAAAAACTGCCAAACACAAGTTTGTAAACTGTTTTTCTAGTGTTACTATTAATGTGGTTTTGTTTGAAAAATGTATCTGGCAGGAGACTATACATAAACATAAATCTCCTGAAAAGGACATCAAAAGAATCAAAGAATTGCCATTACAGCAGGCTTATTGGGATTCACCTCGCAAGAAAAGCTTGTTGCAGAATTGGCCATGGATGTCTACTATGATTTCATATTGTTTTTTTGGTCTTCATGACACAGCATATAGTGAGGTAAAGAAGCATACTGTCTTCTCTTTTGTTTGTTACTACAGATTCGCAGAAGGTCATGTTAATCTTTCTAGATGCCACTCAGTTTATTTCTCATGCGTCAAAAATTATTATCTACACACGTGACAAACTATTCACGCACAGCTTTGATATTCATATAACTTAAGGGTTCTAAAAAAAATTAACGCCATTAACATATTTAATGCTAGATACTATCCTTGTGGGCTGTGAGTGATAGAAAATATGGTGGCCTTAGCTTTTCATCTGAGGATATTGGTCAAGTTCTTGCTGCTGCAGGTATATTGCCATCTCCCTCCCACCATACAGATTTATATATATATATTCTGAACTATTCATGAGACTTTAAATATTTGTGTTCTCACATAGTTGCATAAATTTGTTGTTAAATAATTATACTTCATGTCTCTTCGTTTCAGGTGCCAGTCTCCTAGCATATCAGCTTATTTTTTACCACTGGGTTCATAAATTTCTTGGACCAATCATTTCATTACGGATTGCTTCTGTGAGTAGTCTCCTATCATGACTTCAAAACAAATACAAATAATCGTTTCTTTTGACATAACCATTTCATCTTCATCACTCATATTTACTGAAATTGCAGGCTCTATCTATACTTATTCTTTCTACTTATCCTTTTATGACATACCTTTCTGGCACGGGACTTTCGTTTGCTCTTTATTCAGCGGCAATGATGAAAAGTGCTCTTGCAGTAAGCATTTTCAAAGTTCTTCCTTAAAAGTTTAAGTATCTACAAGTGTATCCAATCACACCATTTGTGAGCTAATAGGTACAGAAGTAATATTTCAAAAGTAATGTACAAAAATAAAAAGATCTGTTGCACTGCAGAATGCAGATTATGAAAATCCACAGTATGACAAATTCAACTGTAGCTACTTGGGGAAGACGGGCCTGGGTTCTTGCGTAGAGTACTATTTTCAGGGCTTTAAGAGTAATGAATAAAATAGGGGATTTATTATACTTCCACTAGTATCCAAGTCTCTATCTCTAATCTTCATTTTGTACAACTTGTGCAGATTACTATAAGCACAGGAATTAGTCTTTTACAGAACAATGCTGTGGTATGCATAAAAATCAAGTGAATCCATGTGTTCTGATACAGTTCATGTAAATAGGTTAAATTATTTATTGACTTTGAAATTCAATATCAGCTTCAAGAACATAGAGGCACTGCAAATGGTGTATCAACAACAGCTATGTCATTTTTCAAGGCAATTGCTCCAGTAGGGGGAGGAGTTCTGTGAGTACCACCTCTTATCACTTTTTCAATAAATACAATTCATGATCGAGAAATAATGTTTCTTAAATGATTTAGCACCTAGCGATCAATGCTCAATTTTCAATTCAGATTCTCATGGGCGCAAAAACGTCAGGATGCCTTCTTCTTTCCAGGTGAGCTATCTATTTGAACTGCACTGCGCTATAATACCATATCTTTCAGTGCTCCGGAGAAATAGTTTGAGGGAGTAAAATGAACTCCCTTTTTTTCATTATGTTAATGAGAGATTTGCTTGGACTAACTGTAGTGAAAGAACTTGTAATCAGGAAAAAAAAAAGAGAAACATGATCCAGTTTGGCTTTCTTGAAACCTGTAGGTGATCAAGTGGTGTTCTTGATGCTCAACGTTGTGGAGCTCATTGGACTTATATTTACTTTTGAGCCTTTTATGGTGTTACCTGCGGCATCAGATGAGTGTAGTTAGCCAAGTGCAGAGGGATTGCTGCTTATTAATAAATTTGTAACAGTAACAATATTTGACACTTGCTAATGGACCGATCAGCGATGAAGCGTAGCCGCCAAGGTAGGTGGCATGCTTGTCTACCTAAGATTGGATTTGTCATCATGGTGTACTGATTGCATCTGGACACTGTGATTAGTTTGTGAACAAAACAAAAGTTTAAAGTAGTTTATATAAGGAAAAAGTACGAATTACCCTCTTGAACTATCGCGGTAGTCCGAATTACCCCCCTGAACGATAAAACCGGATATTCTTCACCCCCAACTATACAAACCGGACGAATTACCCTCCTCGACCTAATCCGCGGTGGTTTTGGTCTACGTGTCGTACATATGGCAGTTCAGTCAGCATTATATATATATATAACAATTGTGGGACCCACCTGTCATACACCCTTCCCCTCTCTCTCATTCTTCGCCTCTCTCTCACACACGGTCATCGGCAGGCGGGGGCGGCGGCCTCGGCGCGGAGCTGCGGCCGCGTCGGACGGTGACGCGGAGGCGGCGGCTGAGGGCGGCAGCCTCAGCGCGGAGCTGCGGCGGCGGCGGACGGCGACGCGGAGGCGGAGGCGGCGGCTGAGGGCGGCGGCCTCGGCGCGGAGCTGCGCGTTGGCGAGGCGGACGAGGCCCGCGTGGCCGCGGGCGGCGTGCCGTCCTCAGCCTCGGCGCGGAGCTGCGCGTTGGCGAGCTCGCGGTTGTAGCGCTTCCTGCCGTCCTCAGCCGCCCTCAGCCGCCGCCCCCACCGCCCTCTCTCTCCTCCCTCCCTCTCTCTCCTCCCTTTGGCGCGCCCTCTCTCTCTCCTCCCTCCCCTTGCTGCAGTTGTAGGGGTTGGCCGGGAACCGGGGAACCTTGAAGAGGTCCTCGTCTTTCTCTGCTTGTGTTGTGAAGAAGAAAGGCAACGAAATGCAAAGCATATCTCCATGGCTCACCTCCATAACACGGTGACAGAAAAGAATCAGATCGCGAGGAGACGAAGAAGACGATTGATGACTCCCAACTATTTGTCCATTTCAGGAGACAGGTGAACAGCAACGGCTCAGTGGTCAAAGCTGTAGTGGAGCTTGCTAGCTGGGCATTGGTCAGTAGCAACACGGCCGCATGCAGATGAGCAAGGGAGCTGGTGGCTGTGTGCATGTATACATAGCCACGCGAAAAAGCTTGGGCAGCAATGGCGGCGGTGAGGATCCTCGCCGGTTTCCGCCAGTTCGCCCTCCCCGTCGTGCTCGCCATCGCTCGCCGCCGGCCGAAGCCACCCAGCCGTGCTCGCCGCCGCTCGCTGCAGCAAGGGGAGGGAGGAGAGAGAGGGCGGCGGGGGCGGCGGCTGAGGACGGCAGGAAGCGCTGCAACCGCGAGCTCGCCAACGCGCAGCTCCGCGCCGAGGCCGCCGCCCTCAGCCGCCGCCCCCGCCGCCTCCGCGCCGAGGCTGCCGCCCTCAGCCGCCGCCTCCGCGTCACCGTCCGAGCTCCGCGCCGAGGCCGCCGCCCCCGCCTGCCGATGACCGTGTGAGAGAGAGAGAGAGAGGCGAAGAGTGAGAGAGAGAGGAAGGGTGTATGACAGGTGGGTCCCACAATTGTTATATATATAGAATGCTGACTGAACTGCCACGTGTACGCCACGTAGACCAAAACCACAGCGGATTGGGTCGAGGGGGTAATTCGTCTGATTTGTATAATTGAGGGTGAAGAATATCCGGTTTTATAGTTCAGGGGGATAATTCGGATGACCGCAATAGTTAGGGGGGTAATTCGTACTTTTTCTTTTATATAACCAACCAGGTAATTTCTGTCCGCAGATATCACTACTTGACTAGGCTGAGAGATTAGTTAAGTTTAGTAGAAGTCAGAAAGAACTGAACACAATCTGAGCCAATTCTTAGGTAAAAGAAATGTAGACAGGTAACCAAGGGAATAATCTACTATTAGGAAAAAAAAAAGGCCGATTCTTAGGTACTTTCGTTTTATATTATAAGACTTTCTACATTGCCTACATTTATATATATGTTAATGAATCTAGATATATATATGTGTGACTAGATTCATTAACATTTATATGAATATAGACAATGCTAGAAAATTTTGTAACCTCAAACGGAGGTAGTAAAAGAATTGTAGGCAGGTAACCATGGGAATAATCTACTATTAGAAAAAAAAAAAAGGAAGGTTGATGGAACAATAGGCTTGCTCACCATATTCAGATTTGAGTCGCGGCCGCCCGGACATGGCGGTGTATTAAAAGTACAGCAGCCAGCTTCCCGGCTTCGAGTGCTCGCCGCGCCATCGGCATCGCCTGCTCGTAGCCGTGGAGCTCGCCGGGATCGGGAGCCTTCCCTAGCTCCCTCCCCGCTCCGGGCGGCGCCGGCAATGATGCGGGGAAGCTTGGATATTGACTGGCTTCCTATTCGCACGGAGGAGCGGGATTGAGGAGGAAATCGAGGTGGATGCGGGCTCCGATCCAACGTCGACGGCGGCGGCGGCGGACGGCCGGACGGGAGGCCGGAGCGCCGGAGGGGAGAGCAAAACGCGAAGAGGCACTCAAAAGAGGGGCTAAAATGCAAATAATCAGGATCCTTGTTTGTTTGCATTCTGGCCCCTGCTTTGGATCGGATGTGTGGGCCTAGTATCGACCGGCCCACGCTAACCTTGGGTCGGGCCGCTGAGACAGTTAGGGAGCGACAGAAAGTTCATTTTACATCCCTAGACATTACGCTGAGTTTGATAAACGTCCTTCAACCACAAAACAGCGTACAGAGGATTCAATAAGACACGTAGGTGCCATGTCAACTCAAAATACCACCATTAATCCGAGGGACTCAGTTCACACTAGTATTAAAAATCGAGGAATGTACGGTACCAGTTCTGAATGAATCTCGACGCATAGTACTCGAGGGATGCAGACTTCCTCCGTCTTATATTATAAAACTTTCTAATATTGTCCATATTAATATAGTTATTAATTGCTAAAAATTCTTATAATTTGAAACGGATGGAGTAATTAGCTTCGTGGGATCCGCGCATCTGCAGCCTGACCGCCTCAACATCAAAAGCGAACAAGAAGTGTCTACCCAGTGCACGCGAGGCTGATGCAAAGCCTCAACTGGCGCTGCAGTTTTAGCATCCTGATTATTGTAATCAGATATTCAGAAAAAAGGGAAACTTGATCCAGTTTTGGGTTTTCTTGAAACCTGCTGGTGATCAACTAGTGGTGTTCTTGATGCTAAATTTGATTAAGCTAATTGGACCCATATTTACTTTTTGACTTTTTTATGATGTTACCTGCAGCACTACCAGATAAGTGTAATTAGTCAGGGGTAACTGTAATAATAATATTTAACACCTGCTGGTGGACTGAATGATTTGGCATAACAGTCTAGGTAGATGCCATGCTTGTGACCTTGTGTACCCATGAAAATGGAAGTCGGAAAGTGATCGGATTACTCTGGCTGCAGTCAGCATGACATGCTCAATTATTAGTCATCATCGCGTACTAATTGTATCTTGAGACAATGATCTAACAAAACAGAAATTTAAGGTAGTATAGCTAAGGTAATTCCTGCCTCACATATCTCTGTAACGAATGACTAGGCTGACAGTTTAGTTGCCCTAACTCCTAACTAAAGCCTGAAAGGAACTGAAGAATGAAGATAAGCTGATCCAATCGTTGGGTCAAAAGAAAAGGCTAGGCGTGTCGAGATGAGAATGATTGATTAGACAAAGGAAGGTGGTATTCAGCCTTGTGCACCTCTGTAAAATACCAGACGCCATCTTCAGATTGCATCGCATATTCCTCGTAAGATCACCGTCTTCAGATTGCATGGCTCATATTCGCATGGATGGGAATTATAACTCTCTCTCCTTTGATGAAAAGGTGAGAACTAGTGGACAGTGATCAGGCACACACTGACATTGTCGCCGTCGCATACTATGTTTATTCCTGATTCCTGCGTATGGTCCAAAGAAGAAGAGACTGATTGGCTTTTTGCAGATTGCAAGTGCACTCTGGCTACCTTAACAAGTTTTTTTGACTAACTCACCGGGGGGGAGAGGTTCCCCACCTGAATTGTCATTGCATTAATTAAGGAAGAAATGTCTTATTACATCGGATGAAGAGTCTGTAGACTAGAAGAGAAAACACCTTTCCAAACATCTATTACAAATATATCATCAGGTGTAAAAGTTTCAGCCCATAGGGAGGATTCCGAAATTCCGCGTTGCAAGCATGAAGCAATTGAAGGTGGTCTTCCTCAGAATACAACATCATGCCTGTGGTTCCACAGGACCCAAAAGCAGAGCATGAAGAAACTCTGAAAATGTCTTGTTGGGATAGTTGCTGGTGCCTTTAGTTGGGACAGGTACTTAGTCTCATTGATGATCGGTTGGATATGAAGTGCTTGCCAGAAACTGATAGCAAAAGGGCAGCTGAAGCTGAGGTGATCTGCTGTTTCATCAGTGGTGCTGCATATGTCACAGGTTGCTGTCTGTACTATTTTCTTTTTCAAGAGATTCAATTTTGTGGACAGTCGATCTCTGACTAGAAGCCAAGCAAAGAGCTTGATCTTTAATGGCGTTCTGCAGTCCCAAATGAATTTCCAATTTGGTGAAGGAAAGCCAGGCGGAGACCTTAAATCATAGATTGTCTTGGTTGTTAAATTGCCAAGGCGATTGTTGAGCCGAGTATCCGATTCATTTGTCAAGGAAAAATTCTGAAGAATGGTTTGCAGTTCTTGTAGGTCGTTTTGCGCTGCAGATGAAAGCCTAGGGGTGAGAATATCGTAAATTCCGAAGGATAAAATTTGCTCAACAGTGGCTAAGTCGTCAGTTGAATGCGAGAAGAGAGATTCAAACTGTGCTGCAAGAGTCATATTGCCAGTCCAGCGATCATGCCAAAAGGATGTTCTCGAGCCGTCCCCAATGTGCACCGTAGTTATCTTGAAAAGCTCTGGCAGCAGTTTCTGAAAGACACTCCAGTGTTGACCTAACGGTAGAGATTTTAATAGTGATCTTCCATCAAATTCTTTCCAAATCCAATTAGTCCAGGAGGAATTGCCTGAGAAAAGGTTGAAAAGTCTTTTGAGAAGAAGAGCTTCATTTTGAGTCTTTAAACTTTTGATTCCTAGTCCTCCCTTTTCTTTTGCGGTACAAACCTCATCCCAGGCCACTAAACACTTTGCTCCGGAGCAGGTGTCATCACCGGTCCAAAAAAAGGCTCGTCGCCGTTTATCAATTGCTTCTATTACCTTTGGTGGGAGTTTGAACGCGGACATTGCATAAACTGGAACACTGCTTAGCACTGCATTAACTAGGATTAGGCGTTCGGCCTGTGAAAGTAGAGATGCCTCCCAGCCTGTAAGAAAACTATCCACTTTGACCACAATTGGTTGTAGATCATTGTTGGTGAGTTTATGCAAGGATAGAGGTAGGCCCAAGTAAGACATTGGAAGCGATTCCAGCTTGCACTGTAGCAATTCCGACAATGACGATTCCTTTGAACGGTCGATATGAAGGGAGATCATTGTACTTTTGGCAAAGTTGATTTGTAATCCTGTGGCTTTGGAGAATTGCAGCAAGGTTGATCTAAGAGCAAGAACATCATCCTCCTCTGCTCGGCATATCACCAGCGTGTCATCGGCGTACTGAATGGTCGCACATGGTCTGTCCTGATAGATAGGGTGCCGAATCTGAAAGTTTTTCTCCAGCAGTCGTTGCAGCACATCTGCCACTAGAATAAATAAATAAGGAGATAAGGGGTCTCCCTGGCGAAGCCCTTTTTTGCAGTTAATCCATTTTCCTGGAATTCCATTAAGAAGCACTGCCGACTTTGATGTTTGAAGTAGGCTTTTGATCCAAGAAATCCAATTGTTTGGAAACCCCCGGACAGCCAAGATTTGGAACAGGCTCGTCCAGAGAACTGAATCGAAAGCTTTAGCAAAATCTAGCTTGATAATGAGGGTCTTGCATTTCCTTGCATGGCACGCTTGTATCAGTTCAGTGGCATAAATTAAATTTTCAGAGATGCATCTACCTTTAAGGAAGCCTGTCTGGTCCAGATGAATCATTCTTGTCAGAACTTTTTGAAGCCTATTTGCCAAAACCTTTGAAAGAATTTTTACTGAGCAGTTTTGAAGGGAGATTGGTCGAAAGCCATCTACCTTTACAAGTGAGTAGTCGTTTGTAGTTGATAGTGAAACAGTGATTGAACTAACTTTCAAAAAGAAAAAAAAAACAGTGAGCAAACTGATTGTTTTGTTTCGTAGCTAGACTAACACTGGGATCTACTACTGACAAAGAGAGAAGAGAAAGATAAGGAGAACTCTCCTAGCTAGCTGCTGCTTGTTGGTGTAATAATCACCAGACTAGCTTGCAATGGTGTACTTAATAATCAAATCAGTGAAAAACATATAAGAACGAGGAGGAAGGAGAACATGGAACAGCCACTGCTATTGAAGATCGTCATAGACACTCTTCATCAGGGATAAGGGAGGTTATCTCACTGACTGTTTTGAACGGCATGTTGACAGATATGTGAAAAAATCGCTGTCTCAAATTGCTTGGAACTAGTAGAATTATCTGTGGTAGCTAGGATTCTGAGTCAGCAAACTATTTGTGATAGGTACACCAGAGAAATAGCAGATGATTAAACTTTAATTTACTGTACGAATCTCTAAGCACAAGAGAATAGATTTTACTATAAGATTGGAGAAGAAAATTTTGTGACCTTAGCTATATTAACACCAAAAAGTTTTGGCCATTAAAGTCATAGAAAAAGAACATACGGTAAAAAAACTTTCATTATAAATATTTAACATTTAGAACAAAATTTGGTCCGACTCTTGAAACATTAAGCATCATTTTTATATTGAAATAAGTTTATAAAATGTAACAAGTTTATGATATGTAGCACCTTTTGACACAAAATTACTGTACCAATTATTTTACAAAAAACTAAGCATTTGAAAAAAAAAATTGCTATGACCAAAGTTTCAAAATTTTGGCTAAATCTTGTTCTGAACTTTCAAATATTTTTTTACGAGAGGAAGCACATATTAGCATGCTGCATGCATCGAAATGGAGATGGAATACATATGATCCAGCTAATTCCATACAAATCAATCGTTCAGTCATATAATCGTCGCATGGATGAGAGAATAAGCTGCATGGACGAACCTTACTTAAGTGGCCAAGTAGTGGGCAACGCTTGCACGGCAGAAGCAGGCAAATTAACAATCAATCGTCAGCAACAGGCAGCCGGTTCGATCCTGTGCAAGACAAGAAGGCCTTTGTCCACGATGGATAGATACATGTTGGACACTGCAGCTGCACATTGCACCACACGCATGAACAAGATCGTCTCTCGTGTTCTCTTCTGTGCAGCCCCTAGGGCATTCTCAATGTGTATAAAACTAAGAGCAGGTACAATAGCATGCTTTAAGCCAACTATAAACACACATGTCAAGAAGACAAAAGAGGAGAGAAAGAGCAGCGGGTTACATATCTGTAGCCAGCTGTAGCACGGACTCCAAAATGTTGTTATGTGTGTATGAGAGGTGGGACCATATATTAATAGTAAAATTAAGTAGTATATGTTTATAAGTAACTATTGTATAAATGAGTTATTAGGTTGGGTATAGATGATTTGTAACTAGTAGTTCGCTATACTATTAAACTTGCTCTTATAGCTAGTGCAAGCATTAAGGTATGGCCCACTGATTGCTTCTCTCTCCTAGCTTTGTTAAATTTTCATCCTGTATAACTGTTTCATTGTATTATTTTATTGCTTATGTTTGAGCCTAAGCCTAAAGTCACTCCTTGCATTTATTATCTTATATCATATTACCACAATGTATGCAGTCAGTCATAGAGAATATTTTGAGCCTTATGGCTCTCCTTGTTGTCACATTGTGGCTGCTTAGGCTGTTACTGATGTGGCATGCGTGCCAAGAAACAAAACCACCAGTAGCAGCCATCCATTAATATGGCTTGACCCACTCGCCTCGTCTCCCCTGGATATCTCTCTCTCTCTCTCTCCACCTTTTGCCTTCACCAATCTCCACCACCACATCGTCTTCTTCCTCCTCTTACCTCGCCCTAAGCGCTCATGGCTACAGTTGCCTAGTAAAGTTGCATTATTTCTTTAAAAAAAAGTCATCGGGGTCACCATCTCCGGCCACCACGAAGTGCTGACGACCACGGGCACCGCCCTTAGAGTCATCGTGACGTTACGCGTGAGGGGTTCGAATGAGATGGGAGCGACGGGTGTGGGTTGGACTGAGGGCTTCAGTGGTTATTTAGGGGAGAAGTGGGTTGATCAGGTGTGGAGGGAGCAAACTGCAAAGTTGTGGACACGCTGGATGGCCACGTCGACGGTCGACCTAGTCATGTCGGACTTACAATATCATGGATCTAGCTAACATTACGTCCCAATTTTAAGAACCGACGGTGTATTTTACTCATGAACAAATATAAGAGGTTTATAGCTCCATTCCACTGAAATGAACATGAACCTCTTGTAATAGCTGTTCTTGGGCAAATTATCACTAGACCAGTTTCAAATGGTGTGATAATATTCAAGTAAGTCAAAAAACGGATAGGATTAAGGAAGAATAAGTACAGCAACTACCATAATGAAGATCGTGATAGACACTCTCTTCATCAGAGACAAGGAAAGGAGATAGATATAGAGGTAGTGGGTATGATCACTGACTGTTTTGAACCATATGTTGACAAATATGAAAAAGAAAATCGCTATCTCAAATGGTTAATTTGGAACTGCAATAATCCATCGTACCTAAGATTCTGAGTCAGCAAACTGTTTGTGATAGGTACACCAGAGAAATAATAACAGACGAGTGAATTTTACCGTACAACAGTGCGAGTCTCTAAGCATGAGAGAATTTCTAAGCTTACATTTTACAATAAGGTTGGAGAAGAAAAAAATGGTGACCCTAGCTATAGTAACACCAAAAAGTTTTGGCCATCAAAGTCATAGAAAAAACAACTTAAAAAAATAATCCCTCCAATCATAAATATTTGACGTTTATAACAAGATTTGGTTAAAATTTTAAAACATTAACGATCGATTTTATATTGGAATAAATTTATAAATATTTCAAATTTTATGATATTATGATAATTTTTTTCAATACGTTTTTACCGTACCAATTATTTTTTAAAAAATCTAAGCATTTGAAAAATTACTATGCCCAAAGTTTTAAAAGTTTGACTAAATCTTATCTTTAAAGGGTAAAAATTTGTTACCGGAGGAAGTACATGTTCTGCAATGCGTCGAAATGGAGATGGAATACGTATGATCCAGCTAATTCCATACAAATCAATCGTTCAGTCATATAATCGTCGCATGGATGAGAATAAGTTGCATTGACGTACCTTACTTCAAGACTTGAAGTGGCCACGCAGTGGACGAGGACGACGCTTGCACGGCAGAAGCTGGCAAATAATCAATCGTCAGCAACAGGTAGACCGTCGCGTCCACCTGCATGGCAGCCCGCTCAATCCTGTAGCAGCAACAAGAATTGACTTTGTGGCCTTTGTCCACGAACCACGATGGATAGATGCATGCATATCTTGGCCGCTGCAGCAGCAAAACACATCACACCGCATCAACAAGATCGTCTCTTGTGTTTGTGTTGTGTTCCCTCTACTGATGTGGCACGCGTACCAAGAGACAAAACCACCAGCAGCCATCCATTTATATGGCTTGACCCACTCGACTCCTCTCCCCTCTCGCCACCGTTGTTTGCCTTTGTCAATCTCCACCACATCATCTCCTACCTCGTCCTGCCTGCGGTGGCCTTCTCCTGCCTCTGCCTGCTTCACAAGTCCTTCTCTGACTCTGTCTTGGCCATCCTATTCCTAGCTCATCATCACACTCTTGCATACGTGCTTGTTGTCAACTCCATTGAGAGCGTCGCCGTTGATGGCTGAGCCGCCGGCGACCAAGGTATACCACGATGGCTGCCCCGGCTGCGCCATGGAGCAGAGGAAGGAGGAGCACAAGGGCATTCCCTACAAGGAGTTCCTCTTCGTTGCCATCACCACCCTCGCCTCCTGTATGAATATATAATATAGAATTAGCACGCATACATGCACAGTCAACTTAGTTTGATTTGATGTTTGTTTATCTCTTCTTGGTCTTATCTTATTTTACTTAGTACGTAGTAACATGCATCCTTCTCTGTCTCTCCCCTTGATTTTCAGCTCTGCCAATCTCTTCCTTGTTCCCCTTCTTGTACTTCATGGTAAGTTTAATCTCCATGCATTCCATTCAATTTCATGAAACATATATTTTGCAAAAGATACTAAATGCATTCCCTTCTTTACAACAGATAAGGGAATTGCATATTTCTCGGACAGAGGAAGATATTGGATTCTATGCTGGATTTCTTGGTATTAACATTTCTGAAAAATAATTAGTCACTGAGTAACAAAATTCACGAACACTTCTTTCACAACTACGTCAAAAATCCACTAATGTTTACATGATGAGAAATTTTATAATCCTTGAAAAAGTATCTCGATATACCTAAATTTTACACTCAAACACTGTAAAAGTTCTCTTTTTTCTTTTTGTTTTGGTACATCGAGGTACTTAGTACTAGAGGTACCAAATTTTACACTAGAAAATGTGGTATTTCCCGGTACTTTTTCAAGGATGATAAAATTACCCTTACATGATACTCCATATTTCTGCTGCAGGCGCATCATATATGATCGGTCGAGGTTTTGCATCAATCTTGTGGGGTATGGTAGCGGATCGTATTGGCCGAAAGCCTGTCATTATCTTTTCCATTTTTGCAGTGTAAGCACTATAGTACCTTTCCAAAAATATTGACAGGAATGTGTCCATGGCCTATTGGCATTTACTTTGTAGTCTGTTCCATCTGCTAAACAATTTTTAACTCGTCTTCGAATCTATACTTTCAGCATTGTGCTCAATACTTTGTTTGGATTAAGTGTGAAGTACTGGATGGCTGTTACCACGAGATTCCTTCTTGGTGCTCTGAATGGATTGCTTGCACCAATAAAGGTACCTTTTTAGGAAACATTAAGATACTTTGAAATGTGAAAGAAGTCTGTTGAGAACAAATAAGGGATGGTGTCAGTATCAATTGGTATTCTTATTCCATCAACAATCTACTTAATTATGTTTTATATTACTTGTGGCTGCAGGCTTACTCTATCGAAGTTTGCCGAGCTGAACATCAAGCTCTGGGCCTATCAATTGTAAAATACAAATCTATATATAGCACTTCACATCTATATATATGATGGCATAACTTTGTTTCATGTCATGGACTAAGTTTCATCCATGTCATCAAAATTTTAGGTGAGCACAGCATGGGGAATAGGTCTTGTAGTTGGTCCAGCAATTGGAGGCTACCTCGCGCAGGTAATATTAGATAAGCATATTCGGGTTCATAAATATCCTTTTCTTCTTTTGTGAATGATCGATGACAATGAGTATTTATCTTTACCTTGGTCTATTTCTTGATATCAGCCTGTCAAACAATATCCTCATCTTTTTCATGAAAAGTCAATATTTGGGAGGTATTTTTCCTATTGAAAACCGGTTCTTCAGATTTAATGAGAAATATTATGCAATTGTAAATGTGTGATTGCAAATTGTGCAGATTTCCATACCTTCTACCCTGTCTTTGTATATCACTTTTTGCTCTCTTGGTCCTCATAAGCTGTATATGGCTACCGGTATGTATTACTATTTGTTAAGTTGCATTATTAAGATTATATATTCTATTTCCATGATTCCAACTGCAAGAATTTTGTGTATCTCTTTTATGATCAGTTTCTAAATAAGACTGCCTTGTTGGATAACCAAAAGAACCAAGACAGATACCCAAACTAACCGCATGAACCATGTGCCTGACTGCCTGGTCTACCAACCCTTTGTAAACCTTGCGCATGACTTAATCTCTATTATCATTTTTTATGACTGCATATTTCTTTGATCAACTAAATAGGAGACCCTACATAAGCATAAAGGCCTTGAAACAGGAGTGGAGGCAGCTGAAGCTTCTACTACTCAAGGAAGTGCAGAATCACATAAGAAAAGTTTATTCAGAAATTGGCCATTGATGTCATCTATCATCACATATTGTGTCTTCTCCCTTCACGACACCGCATATAGCGAGGTAGTAACAGTTATTAATGTGATATGAAATTGTTATTATGTAACCTCTCTATGTCAAATAATTATCTTGCCTTTCTCCATAAAGAGCATGTTTCTTGCTCTATAAATAAGCTGACAATGCATTTGCGGTAATAAACCTTTCATATTTATCCATGGCAATATTTTTCTTTCAGTTAATCATATATCTCTAAGTTATGTGTTGTCATACCCAAGTATTAGCAAATTCTTCCATTTTAGTCTATGAATATTGATCTATCAAAAATCAAATATGCTATGTGAAAAATGTAATTTTCTAAACATTATTTTTTTTAACATCAGATATTTTCTCTGTGGACTGTAAGTGATAGAAAATATGGTGGACTCAGCTTTTCATCTAAAGATGTTGGGCAAGTTCTTGCAGTGGCAGGTAAGTCAAATTCAATCAATTTCTTTCCTACAAATTTTAAACATAGGAAACTCTTTAATCACAGGGTGTTTGCATTAATGTTGAGCTGTGACATGTTGGTTTGGAAAGGTGAACATGTTTTTGTTACACTGTAGGTGCCAGCCTTCTTGTATATCAACTTTTTATCTACCGTTGGGTTGATAAAATTCTTGGACCTATCAACTCAACCCGCATTGCGTCGGTGAGTTACTAATTTCAATGTTTCATAGTTTCTCATATACTTGGTACAGTTTACTTATTATTGGTTACCGAGAGGTTTAAGAGAAAAGAGTTCAAAGAATTATTGGTTAATGCCTGCTTTTATCAGCTGACCTTTAGCATTGCAGGTACTATCTATACCGATTATTGCTGCTTATCCCTTTATGACGCACTTATCAGGAATAAGACTTGGTGTGGCCCTCTATAGTGCAGCAATGATCAAAAGTGTTCTTGCTGTAAGTACTTTATGAACCTATGATTTATATTTTTAAAAAAAAATAATTCTAAAAGTATAAACTCTCATATATATTTTTTAGTAAACCTGTTGGCTACTCCACTCAAGGAAGCATGGTAAACAAATACTTAGCAAAGGCATTATTGCACCTTTGGTCGTGGAGCCTGTGGGTGGTCTGACCAAAAGGTTCAGATGTGAAAATAAAAAAAATGTTAATATTTAAAAAAGTGGTTGAAAAATCCACGAGCTTGCAGTTCTGAAATTTAGCTAGCACTTCAACTGCACAAAGTTATATGCTAAAATGTATGCTAGGTAATTTAGTTTATTTGCACATTTGAAGATACTAATATTTCGTAATGTTGATCAGATAACTATAATTACGGGCACTTCTCTTCTACAAAACAAAGCAGTGGTACTTGTCCCACTTATCTGATCTCACTTGACTATTGTCTGACAGCCTCACAAAAGAAAAGAAATTTTTCTGACATTTTTTTTTTGAAAAATGCATTATTTTGACAGCCACAAGGGCAACGGGGTGCTGCAAACGGAATAGCTACAACGGCCATGTCCTTGTTCAAGGCTGTTGCACCAGCTGGCGCAGGTGTTCTGTAAGTACAAATCTAATTGTCTACAACTCTTGATTATAAACTAACAGTTGAACAGAACTACTAGATATATGGACAACATTTTTTAGAAAATGGATTAAACTGGCCTCTACATCCAAAATACATGTACACGGCAAAAGATATATGGACAACATAATTGTCGCTTTTCACAAATACTACAGGAGTATGACCATCAGTGGTGTTTACCATTTGGGCTGTGTACATCCATTGTGGATGTAGAGGCCGGATTTTAATCCATTTTCTAAAAAAAAAAGTGGTACTTACCATTTGTTTGACACAAACTGTGGTCATGAAAAATGTTAGTGGCTAGTTTGTCCTTCCAAGTTTAGTGAATAGTTGTTGCCTGAAGCCTGAAGATAGATATGAAAGGATGAGCCTGTTCTAACAGAACTGTAAACCTGTTTTGAAGAAGAAAAGGACTGACTGTTGAAAATCTGTGGCTGCAGATTCTCTTGGGCACAAAAGCGACAGCATGCAGCATTTTTTCCAGGTAAATACTCCTATGCATTTTTATGAACCATGTTGCAGCCATTACTACAGTACTTTATATAAGTGAAGTAAACAAATCGGTGTTGTGAATTACTAGCACATACAAGAAATAGAAACTTGTGTTATGTTGATTTGATCATAAAATGGAAATTCAATGTTGTGCAGGTGATCAGATGGTGTTTCTTTTACTGAACCTGACTGAGGTCATTGGACTCATGTTGACCTTCAAACCTTTCTTGGCGGTTCCTCAACAATACAAATAGAACATTCAGATACTGTCAGCTGGTGTGGCAAACACCATAGAGAGATAGTTGTAGCTAGTACTATGTTTTAGTATTAAAACATGGTTTAGATATGGTTGTAGCAGAGTGTTAGAAACATGCACCATTCCAGGTGCAGAGCCTCTGTTAGGTTGTTCTTCTTTTTGTTCTGCTTTGGGTCTGTGAGATAAATAATCTTGCAAAAGCTATGACATTTTTTATTGCAGCTTTGGAGTACAACACATCAGATTTGCGCGACTTGTTAAGTTACAAGCTAGTGGGATGGGATTAGATCATTTTAACTGATTATTAATCAAGAACGAGAAAAATAAACTAAAAATCAGAGTGCTATCCGACACAGAAAAGGGGAAGCGATTGGTACCAGGGGGGGAATTGGCGGGCGCTTCAGGATGACGACGCCGGCCTGGGCCTCATCGGGTGCAGGTAGTCAGCGGCGAGTCAGCAAGTCAGGTAGTGCGATGGGAACGCTAATCCTCTCTCTCAGCAAGTCAGCGGCGGGCAGTCGCCGTACGCCGCCGCCGCCATCGCCGAGGCAAAAAAAAATGACGGGCCCGGCGAGCCGTACGCCTCCGTCCGTACACGTGCCGGCGTGCTTGCTACTGAGTTGAGCTTTAGCAGATCAGCCCATAGTTGGCCCCAATCTGAGCCCATACACTGTTTTTCGTACGGTCAATTTCCTCCTTTCAAAAGTTATATAAGCAAGTTAGCATTAAAAATTGTACCAAAAAGTATAATTATTTTATTTTTATTTTTTTAATAATGGATTTTCATTAATCCAGTCTCTATATCCACGAGGGATATACACAGCCAAAAGGATACAAGAGCACTTAGACTCACACCTCAACAAAGAGGAGAACACACAAACCAAAAAAGGAAAAACCTACAACCTCGGCAAATCCGTGCATCCCGACATCCTCTACTGAAACGGACAAAATCGACAAGTGGAAGTCGTCTAATCGCCACCGCCCCTATTGCGTTGTCGCTGCGATTCTCTACTGATGCCATCTTCATCCACTTCAAGTGAACCGATGCCACGGCCACCGGGTAGCCCACCCTCATCCATTGTCCTCCGTTTAGAACTAGCTGACCAGACACTAGTTGAAAGCGTCTGCATTTGCTTCGCCGGATTCCTAAGCCTCCGCTGCCCATAGGGCCGCCGTCGACATCAGAATCCTCCTATGCTCTCGGACTCCCAGCCCGCCGCCACCTTTGCCGGAGTTAGAGGACTAGCCTCTGTCTCTACCCAACGCCCATGTCGCCAAGGGGATAAAATTAATTTATTTTTATACCGCACAGATGCAGGCACTTATATAGACCACGCATACTCACCTCTATAAATACACATACGTACACCCTATCTCTATAAACATTTTCGAAGACCGGATCCGACATATTTTAAGATTGATAAAATCACCATACACATCGTTGTTGAGGGTACGTCGTCAACGATTATTTCTATGATATTACTACTCTTAATTATCACTGCCTATTTAAATTTCTCAATATCTTACACCCCGACCATCAGACCATCCTCATGTTTTGAACTACATACCATTTAATCATTTATTAAAGGTGCTATAGCCTCTTTTTTTTTAATCTTGACCTTAAATCTCTACCGAACAATTTAACAATACTTATATTTTGGAGCAGCGATTAGTAGCTAGTAACTGTCAATGCAGGCCAGCTTAATTTGTCCTGTGGCGTGTTCATTGATCCAAGAATTAATGCATATCTCTGTTTCAGAATCAGCTGATATGGAACCATGCGAGCCACACACATATCAATCAATCATGATGTGAATTACACCATTGTGTCTAGAGAAAATTAAATAATATACGGATTAATTACATAGCTAGGAGGCAGAACTGGGTGGCACACTTCATGCATGCTTCTGAACACAAGAGCAAGATGATGATGCATCGATGGTGCTGTATACATCAGCAGGTAGGCAGGCGCAGCTTGGTGCAGCTACCAACTGTCATGGCCATGCGTGTAGTCCTAGCATTGATCAATCGATCGATGCAGAGAGAGAGGGAGAGAGAGATCACATGCAAGCATATCTTCTGTTTTGACGTCAAGTAATACAGACAGCCGTCGCATATTTTCTTCTCCCCGACTATGATATGATCCTCTCATTTGTTAATTTCATTAATTAATCCCTTCATGATTGCGAGCATATATGCTATCTGAATCTCTCTGTCTCTGCCACTATAGCGCTGATGAACAAAGCCAAATTAAGATTTAAGCAGGGAAAGTCTGTATCACTGAATGTGCTAGAAGATGAGTTTATTTAATTCCACGGCTTCAATTGATCACTGAGAATACTTGGTTTGGTTTCATTATGTATATACATTGTCACCTAGTTAATTAGCATTTAACTCAATCATGGTTTCATTATTAGCCAATTGCAAAAAAAAAAAAAAGAAACATGTATCAGCCTCATCTCACACGCATACATACTGAAGAGGCCGGCAAGCTTGATGCATGCTGCCATGGTGCTGACTATAGCTAGCAGCAGCATGGATGCACCCAGAAGCAACTGCATGGATCCATGGCTATATAATATCACTGGATGTGTCTTGCCTACCCATCCCAGTCTCTGAACATCGATCGATCGAGTTGACCGCTGTCGTTTCACTTTCAATCGGTATCTGAACTTTGTGTGTTCTCATGATACAATTTCTCCAATTTGAGTGTAGTGCATAGCTGTATACTTAACCTGACTGTCACAACTAATCTGCTGGACTTTTCAGGTCAGCTAGCTACTGCAAATAGTCAATGAGTGAGGAGGCACCGCCATCGCCGGTGATGAGGCCGGTGTTCTACGATGGCTGCCCCGGCTGCGCCATGGAACGGAAGCTGGAGAGCAGCCAAGGCATCCCCTACAAGGAGTTCTTCTTTGTTGGGATCACCACCATTGCCTCTTGTATGTTCTTCTTAATTAATCATGAACTAACTATGGTTGTGATGTCTTGAAATTTTTACTATGAGCCCATGCATGCATGGTATACTTGTTTTGATGATACAACTAGCTTGCACTGTCCATATGTTGATAATCTTATTTTCTGATGATTGGCTTTACTGTTTCCCTTTTCAGCTTTACCAATATCCTCGTTGTTCCCATTCCTCTACTTCATGGTACGTTAATCTCAATGAGATCTAATCCATGTCATATATCTTCTCTATAGGAGCAAAAACGCATGCCATGTTTCACTAAGTCACATTTTATAATCCTACAATTATTTACTTTTCTTCACACTAGATAGAAGATCTGCATGTGGCAAAAAAGGAACAAGATATTGGATTATACGCTGGATTTCTTGGTAAGAATCATGAAAGTTATGGTTTTCAATCAGTCTAGCCTGGGTCTGGATCCCCTGGAGTTGAGTATAACTCTACCGGGTGAAGTTGGCTAAATCCGTGCCATCCATTGTTTCCTACAGCTGAGATCATTCCTCATCAATTTCACCTAATAAATTAACTCCTTAAATTAATGGTTATGACTTCCGAGGAAACTTAATTTTTTTATGCATTTCCTCTATAATAGCGATTTGATTAAATTCTCACAAAAAAAATAATAGACCAGTGTTTTGTTATTCCCCAAATAACAGATATAGTCGATTAACTCTAAAGCTTCAAGCACTGTATACCGACATATATAGTGCTTTCACATACAATGAACCATATCAATATTAATGTGTGTGATTTTTTATATAATAGATGAAGCATGAAATTTTTGTGCTAATTATACAGTAAAAATGATCTCATGACAAATTCTTGATGCAAGTTTATTTGTTGCATGGTCAGTTACTGGTTTTTAAGTACAAATTAATGTGGCTTAATCTCAGCCCTTGATGTATACGGAATGACACATATTTAGCCAACTCCACCTTGTAGAGTTATATCTAACTCTAGGGGATCTGGACCCGTCTAGCCTACTTTAAATACCAAAGTTCCTTTCTCTTTCCTATTTCATAAAAATTATATGCTCATGCAGGAGTAGAATGTGACAATATTATGTTTTGTAGGTGCATCATATATGATCGGTAGATGTTTTGCCTCACTCTTTTGGGGTGTAGTTGCAGATCGTATAGGGAGGAAGCCTATCATTAAATTTTCTATTTTATCAGTGTGAGTATTCATTGTCTCAGAATCTTCACTTTTAGGTGAAAATTTTGAAAAGCTCAATATATGATCCTCTTTTTTTAAGGGTCATATTCAACACTCTGTTCGGATTAAGTGTGAAGTATTGGATGGCAATCGCCACAAGATTCCTTCTTGGTGCTCTAAATGGCATGCTGGCCCCAATAAAGGTGTGCTACAAAGCATAATCATTAATCAAATGAAATTATTCTATCATTCATGTGAACAAATATGTATGTATATATGCTTACTGTTTGAATTATTGTAGGCTTATTCCATTGAAGTTTGTCGACCTGAACATCAAGCTCTAGGATTATCAATAGTAAATAAATTTATACTCATCTCATCACAAGTACAAAATTCAGACAATTGTATCTCTAATCCATTTCATTACTTATATATAGGTAAGCACTGGTTGGGGCGTAGGGCTTGTTGTGGGTCCAGCCATTGGAGGCTACTTTGCACAGGTAATTGTTTTGCTATAAATTGTAACCATTTTTTCACAGAATATTACAACGGTATTATAACTTATTTTGTCTCTCATTTCTCTCAGCCTGCTAAGCAATATCCAAATGTATTTTCCGAGAAGTCAATATTTGGGAGGTATATATACACAAATGGTTTGTCTCAAGATATATTTTATGAAAATTTCATGAATAGTTTATCATTTATCAAAAAGTATATGTGTATTTTTTACAGGTTCCCATACTTCTTGCCATGCCTTTGTATCTCACTCATTGCTCTTGTTGTTCTTATAAGCTGCATATGGCTACCGGTGAGTGATACTCCTGTATATACTACTTTTATGTGTTTTACAAGACTCTACTTAAAATCACTATCAAGTTTCTCACCTCTTAGGCTAGCTCCCAAATAGCTCTGTTAACTCTTTCAATGCTATGCATAACTTTACATAGCCAACCATGAATAGAAGTGATATATGTCAATTGGTCACATAGTTAGTCAGAAAACTAGCTTATAATTGAAACATGAACTCAATAGTTGACAAGTTGGAGGTTTTAAATAAGCATATGATACAATTTTTTTAAGAACATGAAACACTTCCACTAATTAAAAAAATATTTTCTTGATTTCCATTATGTCTAAAAGAAAATATGATTAAAGGATGAACAAACTAATTTGTGTTTATTCTTTTGCTCAATTGTTGCATGACTACTGCCCAAAAACTGTGACTTGTGTACTTGAAGCTTTTAAGTGAGATTATAATTATTAAGACATGACCGCGAGGAAAAATATTTATCAAATTGACAATCTTGATTACCAGGAGACACTTCATAAGCATAAAGATACTGAAGGTGAAATTGAAATGATTGACAACTCAAGAAGTACACTTGAAGAAGATTCACATAAACAGAAGAGTCTCTACAAGAACTGGCCATTGATATCCTCTATTATTGCATATTGTGTTTTCACCCTTCATGATACAGCATATAGTGAGGTAATAAATTTAACTGTATCCCTTTTCATTCGAATATGCAGATTGGTTAATATATAAAAGAAATATGTTTTTCATATATATGAAGGACTAATTAATTTTTTTATATATACTAGATATTTTCCTTATGGGCTGTAAGTGAGAAAAGATATGGTGGGTTAAGTTTTTCGTCTAAAGAAGTTGGTCAAGTTCTTGCAGTTGCAGGTACTTCATTAACTGTTATGGAGTAACTTATTATGACCATCATTTCCACCTCTCATAAACCTTATGTAGCACTTTATGCATTTGGGTTAACTATTCATTCAAAGTCGGTATATACAGATGTTCGCACACTATATATTGTTATACTGCATGTATGTGTTTCTTCCTCGACATCTAGTCAACACTTCACAATTTTCAACACTTCACAATTTCAAGATGAGATTCTCTAAAATTTTCAGAATTCTATAATGTTTTGTCTTTTGGCAATTAATGTGCGAAGTAAATATGAAACAATTTACCAATAAGGGAACATGGTACTAGAAGGAATGTATAATGCTCATCTCAACTAGTGTATATGATTTTTACGGTTGTTGTATTGAAGGGCATAAGTCCTAACTCCTATATTACTCATTTTACCAAAATTTCTTGAGTAGTATAATTATGCAAACCCCAAAAATATTAATCCTATGTGCCATTTTAGGTGCTGGTCTACTTGTGTATCAGCTTTTCATCTATAGATCGGTCCATAAATTTCTTGGATCCATCAATTCATCTCGTATTGCATCAGTGAGTATTTAAACCATATGCTCAAAACACATACACATGTTTCTTAGCCAAGCCAAATATCTGATACAATTTTTGTGTGTATATTACAGGCTTTATCTGTACCAATTCTCGCTACTTATCCCTTTATGACACACTTGTCAGGGTTTAGACTTGGAATAGCTCTTTACCTTGGAACCATTTTAAAGGGTGTTTTATCAGTAAGTTTCAAATATTGTTTGTCATGTTCCAAACAACATGATTCAAGGAAAAATTAGATATGATGTACCTATCATATAAGACATAATAGCATAATATACATTATGAAAATAAATTTCATTTTATATTACAAGCCAAAGAATAAACTTTTTTATTCTAAAATTGGCAATCGTTTGATCACTCATCTTATTGTGCATATAAGGACTAGTCAACTAATTATATCTTGGCTAGGAGGGCGCTCATATATACTCTGCAATTCAATTGACCTTTATAACATGTGTATATTACATAAGTTTGATTCTTATTTTTAAAATGATTACGTTTGATTTATCTTTGTTGGTGATGTAATATTTAGTTATATATATACTATACATGACTTATGATATGCATCAATTTCATGCATAATAATCTTTTTTAAAAAAATTGTCATGTGGAAGCTATTATAGAATTGATCATGGAAAATAAATAGTCATTTCTAGTTTTATGTCAATTATCATTCTTATTAACATTACAACGTTGTCAAATCAGATAACTATCATAACGGGCACTTCCCTACTCCAAAATAATGCGGTTGTAAGTATCAAGTCCACCTACCAATTTATTTTCTCAATATTAACAATGTTATCTAATTCAGTTCATTCCAAACAATAGTCACAAAGTCAAAGAGGTGCTGCAAATGGCATATCTACGACGGCAATGTCATTCTTCAAGGCAATTGCTCCAGCAGGAGCAGGAGCTCTGTGAGTATCACTACAACATACCCAATTTTTCTTAAAGACAAAAGGTTTTAGCATGAAAATATCATGAAAAAAATACCAATCTTATCATATTAGAGACCTAATAACTACTAAGTCCAACAACAGAGTTGAACTAGAAAAGTTTGTGGACTATCAAATTCACAAGTAAAGGAATAATTTTACATTTATTCTATACTAAAATTGGTATAGAATTCGCAAGTGTGTTATGCTTATTTTATTTATGAATTGTATAGGTTCTCTTGGGCCCAAGAACGCCAAAATGAAGCCTTCTTCCCAGGTATATAATTGATTTACAAGTTAGAAACCAACTCCTGTTGATAACTATTCATTTCATAGTGCAAGTATAATAAATGTACTGCATCCTTGAAGGTACTAATATCAGATATATTCCATTGATGTTGCAGGGGATCAAATGATATTCTTTATTCTGAATGTGATTGAATTAATTGGACTTGCGTTGACCTTCAAGCCGTTCCTGGCAATACCAAATTAAACAATTATCAGTTGAAGTAGAAGCTGGAATAGCACCCCCAAGCAATGAAGAATTATTATGCAAGACTACACTGTGTTGTGGTTTACTGAATTGATGTTTGGCTTAAGTGATGTACATAGAAATATATGGCCCATCTTCAGAATCATAAAATTAATGTACAAGAGACTGTTTATCTGAAAATGTTCTTCTTTCCATGAAGACCCTATGTATGGTGATGGATTAGAGTTTACATTGCGTGGATGCAAGCATAGACTTGAAGGCAGTGCAATGACTACTAATTTTAGCTTCCACATTTCTTGTACGCAAGCCTGTCTCTCTCCCCAGCTTCAAAGGAATGGGGAGATCTTGTTTCATGCGTACAGTGTTGGATGTTTACTACTCCGAATCAATCAATTACCCAGGAATTCAGGAATGTTTAATTTGTTCAGGACTGAAATAATCACCAATTGATCACCGTGTATGATTGATCGATCTGATTCAGGACTGAAATAGTTCGTCGCAAATATGGCTCATTTGTTGCTTTACTCAACCACAAAAATGTTTCTTGTAACCACAAGCAACAATTAAACCACGCATCTATATATATCTCTCATATCTATGTGAAGATTTTGCACTGCGAACTCACTGCCAATCTCTTCATCCAGCTCACTGCATAATCACACACTAATTAACAAGCTAATTAGCTGCAGTAATTAGCTGCATTGAATTCATGGAGAGGGGTCAGAAGAAGAAGCTGGCGACGTTGGTCGGGTGCAACTACGCCGGCACGCCCAACGAGCTGCAGGGCTGCATCAACGACGTCGCCGCGATGCGCGACGCCCTCGTCGCCCGCTTCGGCTTCGCGCCGGCCGACGTCACCGTGCTCACCGACGACCGCGGCTCGCCGGTGCTCCCCACCGGCGCCAACATCAAGCGCGCGCTGGCCGACATGGTCGCCCGCGCGGCGCCCGGCGACGTTCTCTTCTTCCACTACAGCGGCCACGGCACGCTCGTCCCGCCGGTGAAGGGGCGCCGCCACGGCCACGGCGAGTGCGACGAGGCCATCGTGCCCTGCGACTTCAACCTCATCACCGACGTCGACTTCCGCCGGCTCGTGGACCGCGTGCCGCGCGGCGCGAGCTTCACCATGGTGTCCGACTCGTGCCACAGCGGCGGGCTCATCGACCTCGAGAAGGAGCAGATCGGCCCCTCCGTCCTCGCCGCCGGCGCCGCACCGGCCGCTGCTGCTGCTTCCACGACGGCCACGCGCGCCACCGCCGCGCGGTTCCTGCCGTACGCCGCCGTTGTCGAACACCTCTCCGGCGTCTCGGGCGTCGACGCCGCCCACCACGTCGCCGACCACCTCCTCGCGCTCTTCGGCGCGGACGCCAGCGCCAAGTTCCACCGCGACGCCGAACAGCCGGTGCGCACCGACGACGACGGCATCCTGCTGAGCGGGTGCCAGACGGACGAGACGTCGGCGGACGTGCCGGGGGACGACGAGGTGGCGGCGGGCGGCAAGGCGTGCGGCGCGTTCAGCAACGCGATACAGACCGTGCTGGCGTCGCACCCGGCGCCGGTGAGCAACCGGCAGCTGGTGAGCATGGCCAGGGCGGTGCTGAGCGATCAGGGGTTCGAGCAGCACCCGTGCCTCTACTGCAGCGACGGCAACGCCGAGACGCCATTCCTGTGGCAAGAGGAGGACAAGAAGAAGACGGTTACCGCGGCGGCGGAGCAGGCCATGACGGCGCTCTGAATGTGTTCGACAGAGGAAGATTGATTGGTCAATACCGATCATTGGGAAAAAAATAAGATTATAATTTTAATCGTCTTATTCAATGCCACAACAAGTTACCATTGCAAATTTGTATGCCATCATGCTGAAGGAACATGTTTATTGATTTTTACAATGATGAATATATCATCAGTTCAGTATTGTTACAAATGTAACCACACACTTTACTGCCTATGGTGCGACACTATGGATGGTTCGGACGAGGGCGGGGATAATCCTCGGTAGTGAATTGTTCATTGGACAGTGTTACACCAGGGTGGTTTGGACGGGGACGAGGATAGTCCTCGGTAGTGAATTCTTCATTAGATAGTGCTATACTAGGATGGTTTGGGCGCGGACGGGGATAATCCTCGGTAGTGAGCTCCTCGTCGGGGTTTATATGTGCCTTTGCCCTAACATGGATTGTCTCCATTTTGCTTGCAGTCAAGCTTTGATGCTTTGGGGTGAGATCAACATTGTTGTCCGCAGTAGTGGAATCTTCTCTTGATGCTAATTCACCGAGTTCCGTCAAAATTCTTGGTATAGCATGCTTGTAAAGATTCTTTCTTGAGTTCACAAATCCATGATTTATCCCTGTTAAAGTTAAGAAAAATCAAATATCTCAATGTTAGAATTAGAAATAATTCCTAAATGTTTCTTTAACACATACCTCTCAATTTTTATTTGTCAAATTTTGTAAGGCATGGAGACATTTAAGTATATTTGAAAGTGATCATTTCTTGTAAGTTTGTAACAAGCAGCTATGATTGTGTGAACAAATTCCAAATACAAATTCAATTTAATGGTACCACCTTTATTAAAAAAAATACGATATATTTTGTGAAATCATGAGTTTAAGTGAGGGAGGTTACTACTTACCACACCAATTAGATATAGAGTTACATATACCATGAGTTTACTTGGTTAGACAAAATGCATGCAATAAGAAAAATACTTGTATCCGTTCACTCGAATAAATCATATAAGAAGATACCAAGTGGAGTTAGATAAGAAATACTTACTCCCTCCATCCCAGGATATAAGAAGTAGGTAAAATTAAAGAGAGATGTTGTAATTGGTTGAGAAGGAAATGTTGGTGAAGAAGTTGTTATATTTTAGGATAAATTTTTAATGCTAAAAGTTGTTATATTTTGGGACGGATGGAGTATCATTTTGTCTATTCTATTTAGACACAACATGTTAACATGCTAATTTTGTTGGTAAACAAGAATATAAAATACCTGATTGAAATTCATAATTCTGACCAGCTACCAAACGATGGGAAATTTGTAGTATGGCTAAAAAGAAAACGAAGTAGCTCAAGATTGTCTTCATATTCCTGCCTTCTTTGTATACAAACTTGTCTTTGTAGATGTAAAAGTGTACCTTGTACATCTAGGCTTTATAGCACAGATGGATGATCTTACATAGGTACGAAATTTATTGAACATTTTTTAAATAGGCATTTAATACTCATGTTGGATTCCTTTTTTGTGTAGCATTTAATACTACTATATGATATAGCTATCTTGATAATATATTTATCAACAATATTAAATTCGGCAGTATTTGTTTTTGCATGAAAGATAGCATATCTTGAAGATATATGCGTTGAATCTCGTCAAATATGCATTTATATGGTATCGATCTTAGAAGATTTGCATCCACGTCATCCATGACATGGCCTCAATGTTTTCACACATTGTACTTACATAGAGCTATTTCCTAAATGCAATCCTGACAAAATAAATTCAAGGTGTCAATTGGGAGCGGATTAAGACGGCCCATTTTGTTTGGGCTGGAGAGTCCGTTACTACTCATGACGGCCCAGTGGGCCACTCTTTATCCAAGTATTCGGCCTTGGCCCAGCTAAGCTAGCGCCTATTAGGGCTTGCCCCGGCTGCCCGTGCGCGCCGCCACTTCCAACCTCCGCCCTCTCTTCTCTTCTCCTCTTCCTCCTCTCTCCTTCTCCCCGAGCTGCCCCTCTTCTCTTCCTCCGATGGGTCGCAAGATCAAAGTCAAGAAGAAGAAGGCATCGAGCAAGGTGAGCGATTGGTGCTGACTGTCTCGCGATATTTTATTCTATTTTATTTTCATCATGGCTTAATTCGAGCCTAACTCTGCCTCTACTCTTTCTTCAATCTTTATGGGTGGGTGGATTGAAGAAAGCCGAAGCTTCATCGTCTAGGGTGCCTTCTGCCCCAGCCAAGGTGAGAGGGCATTTACATGCCAATTATTACAAGCAAATGCACACATAGTTTTTTTAGTCGCAGTGAGAGGGAAAGGTTCGATGTGTGATTAGTTTTTTTTCTCCTTTTGGTCTATAATTTCCTAAGCTAAGGCAAATTGCTCCTGTCACTGCCCTTCGAAAGAAACACTGACCTGATTAGTATTTCTTGTCAGGTATGGCAACCTGGCGTGGATACACTGGAAGAGGGGGAGGAGCTCCAGTTCGATCCTCAGGCTTACAATTATCTCCGAGGGTTTAACATTGGCTGGCCATGCTTGAGGTAAAAATTCTCCACGGCAGCCATTTGGGCGCTTCTTATTTGAAGGCCAATATGAGCATCGTTGTATGGTCTATTTTATCCTCATTGATTTATTATCTGTTGCAGTTTTGATGTTGTGCGGGATCAACTTGGCCTTGTGCGATCTGAATTCCCACATACATTATATGGCGTTGCTGGAACTCAGGTCGCATTCTCTCTTTACTCCTTTTCCTTCAAAATTTGCATTACGACTACGTATATTTATGTATTTGATTAATAACTTCTGTTAACAACAAAATTAGGATTCCAGTTCGTTTCCGAGTGAACTTTGCTCTGTCATAATTCATGGGTGCATGCGATTTTTTTTTTGTATTAACATTCCTTTTCAATCAGTGGTTTTGCCTCCTGAACCCAGAGTGATGGAATCAATCTTTTGTCAACATAGTTTTTTACTTATGAGCGATGCCTGTGTTTTCAGGCCGAGAGGGCTACATGGAATTATATCGGCATTTTCAAGATTTGCAACATAAACGGGAAGAAGCGGGAACCTATACCAGCATCAGCAATTGATGGCGACAGTGATATGGATAGTGAAAGTAGTAGTGATGAAGAAGATGAAGCAGTTAATGAAGATACAATGCCCATTTTACATGTAAGTTCTTTCTCCAAGTGCACAGCTGTGAATTTAGCTATGAATTTTACTTGTTTTGCATCCCAGTTTGCTCATCTGATACATTACTCTAACATGCTTTGTATCTGTTTATGTACAGCTAAAAAAGGTGGCTCATGCGGGGTGTGTAAATCGTATTCGCTCTATGAATCAGGAACCACATATATGTGCAACATGGGGAGACACAGGTCATGTTCAGGTATTTTACTTTGTCTTGCAATACTCCTTTTTTTTCACTCTTTTTGATCGAAGAAGTCTATTTTTGGTCCCTGAGTTCTTTGCGAGGTCTGATCTCCCCTTAAACTTAATACGGATACCGTTAATTGGCATGCTCCAATTTGTCATACAAAATCAGAAAAGCCCCTGCGTTCAATCTATCTGGTTTTGAGTTCTAGCTTTGCAGTCAGCTTGGCACTGGGCTCATGTATCGATGACCAAAAAAGGATTGTTCGTCCTCCTAGTCACCCATCCACTGCACTGCTGCTACCTTCTGTACATAACCACTGAACACCCCTGAATCAAGTTAGCGGATATTAGCATGCCATGTTAGACAAAACTAGGTATAAGATATTATGATTATTCTGTACAGGTTTTGATTTTTGATAGCCGAGGCACTGAAAGTAAATTGTATCAACGTTTAGAGTGGACTTGTGAGGTAGTCGAGGGATGAAAGCCCTGTTGTTTAGTGGTGGTTCCACTCAATCTGTACATTGGTACCCTGTCCTGTTTTCGTGAACATGACATATTGTTATCTATTATATTGCACCCTGAAAACATGCCCAGGAATAGAATCTACCATACCTACTACTTTGTGCATAATCAAACTGTGTTATGTTGCTGCATTTGTAGGTGTGGGACTTCAGCTCCTTCCTTAATTCGTTAGCAGAGTCTGGAGCAGTTGCACACAACGAAGACGACAGAATCCATAATCACGTACCTGTGAAAATATTTGGTAGCCATAAAGATGAAGGCTATGCAATTGATTGGAGTCCGCTTGTTACTGGAAGACTTGTTTCTGGTGCGTGATCTTGTCGTCACGTCCTATGATGTTTTGCTTAGAAAACTATGGCCTGTCCTGCGTTCATAAAACATCCATATGCTTTCATTTCATACATGGGCATTGAGTATATCAATTTAATGATTTGTGCAGGTGATTGCAATAAATGCATCCACCTCTGGGAGCCAACTTCAAACAGTTGGAATGTCGATACAAATCCATTTGTAGGACACACTGCAAGTGTTGAAGATTTGCAGGCATGCCACTGAAAGCATATATACTTCTTGGTGCTCTCTAGAACACTGAACATTTGATTATCTCAAACATCTTGACTATATTTTTGCAGTGGAGTCCCACAGAAGCCGACATATTTGCCTCTTGTTCAGCCGACAGAACAATATCTATCTGGGATATACGGACAGGGAAGAAACCTTGTATTTCTGTTAGGGCTCACAATGCTGACGTGAATGTCATCTCATGGAACCGGTATGATATGTTCACTTGAAAATTCGATTATCTTCATGAAAAATTCTTCTAATATTTCATGAATATACTGACTACCGTTACCAGGCTTGCTAGCTGTATGATAGCTTCAGGATGCGATGATGGAAGTTTCTCAATTCGTGATCTTAGATTAATCAAGGTACTTCATATTGTTAAGCCACACTATTCTGTGCTTGTCAGTTGCAAATAACACACTGAAATGACATATTCCCTCCATCGCTGTTTTTATGGTTTATTTTCAGTTTGGATTTCTGTTTATGCATTTAGAAAAATGTGGGCTATTGGGTCTTTTGATGGTAATATTGATACAAGATGATTGAACCATTTCATGGATGATATTTTGCATTTTCTTGCTACTAGATTTATCAAGCCAGAGACACTATGGTAGACAATTTGTTGCTTCTGATGTCTATATTTAATATACAGACTCCTATAGAATACATGCTCTTGTGCAAAAATCAGTGCACCTAGATAGTTACATGATAATGTTAATTCTTTGTTATTTGAACACCTTTTACAACTATAATAATTTATTCTGTTCATATAGTCTCATCTTGCTGTTGAACGACAGTATTCACATCAAAATCATATCTTTTTCTTTCTGTTCTACTTCTAGGATGACTCCTTGGTCGCCCATTTTGAATACCACAAGCACCCAATTACATCTGTGGAATGGAGCCCACATGAACCGTCAACACTAGCTGTATCATCAGCTGACCATCAACTGACGTAAGTCTCCTCATTCCAAGTTTTATACCTTTATGTTTAAAGTGTGCTGAAATGCCCCAAAAAAAATGTTTTCTTTACTATTTTCTGACTTGCATTTTTCAATCCTGAATTGTTTGTGTACAGAATTTGGGATCTTTCATTGGAAAAAGATGCTGAAGAGGAGGCAGAGTTCAGGGCAAGGATGAGAGAACAGGCTGATGCCCCTGAAGATTTACCCCCACAACTTCTCTTTGTTCATCAGGTACTGTTACCACACTTGTTTTATGTTTACTTCCTCTCATTTTCATATCATTGTGTGCACCATTCCTTGTGTAATTAAAATACATGTTTGTGGACCTCGAGATGTATTTCAAAAGTACAGACACTGTTACTGAGTGAAATCATAAATGTGATGTTGATTGTTTTATGTGCAGGGCCAGAAAGACTTGAAAGAATTGCACTGGCACCCACAGATACCTAGTATGATCATATCTACGGCAGCTGATGGATTCAATATGTTGATGCCCAGCAACATCGATACAACCATTCGAGAAGCTGACGCATAGATTTCTACAGAAGCACTGTTCATCTGAATCAAGGTTTCATGGATTAATTTTTTTGAGGTGGGAGAGTGTAATGATACTGCATGTCTGCAGGTATCAGTTTTTGATAGCTTGTATCCTATTCGTTGTCATTCATAGTGGTAGGTTCTCAGTTTTGCACTGATGTCGCCCGAATGAGGATAATCAAAAGTATCTCGATCAACTGAGATGATATGTTATATTCTGTACAAGATAAGATTAATGATTGTGTATCTCTGTGCTTGCATTAGTTAATATTCACCTCGACCGTTTGTATATTTTTGCCTGATAATTAAGTTGGATATTAGGTCCATCGGCCAGAAATCTGGGTCTTGCAGCAAAATAAGTTGGCCAAGCATCATTCTTGCTGTAAATCTATCTTGTTCTTAGAAACCTAGCAGCATCTACCAGGTGGTGTTAATGAAAGAGACCAAAGGTGCCAATATAAGTTGTTTATTTTATAATGCCCTTTATCGATTGCTCGCAGAATGTAATCATGTATGTACTCCTATTATAGCTTAGATTAGATGCGCCACTTTCGGCACTTGACAATCAACTACTATCTGATGCTCCTATTAATCAGCAAAGTTTCCGAGACTAATAATCAGAATATTTGTTACTGTCATGGCATCAGAATATATGTGCAATTCGCTGACTAGAATCAGGACGGATATGTTGTGTGTGAAGCTCTGGTTGGCCATTTGATATCTTTGGCAAACTTTATTCGTTTCCGAAAATTTGGCAGCCGCCCATGCTGCCTTTGTGAAGATGCTTATGCTGTTGGTTTGTGCTGTGAAAGAATCAGAATGTCACCGGTCTCCCTGTAGCTAGAAAAGAGCAGCAGCAACGATCGATCACGATCAGTGCAACTTCCATGCTCCAGCAATGGCATTCAGCAAGTGAACCGTGCCCTCCTTATTAATGGCTTATTATAGCCAATAGCAAGAACAAGGCAGAGATTAGAATGCAGGGGAATCATTAGCAGCATTACATGTTGGCAACTTAATCCTCTCGTCGTCGTCTTCATCAATCATCATTACATATTCTGTCAGTAATAATCCGAGGGGAGGCAATTAAATGGACCATCTGACAAAGGAGCAGATCGCTGAGTTCCGGGAGGCATTCAACCTGTTCGACAAAGATGGAGACGGTAATCCAATCAATCAATCAATCAATTGCATGTGTTCTTGGACGACGATCAATCAATGAATCCAGAAGAAAATGCAATGCAGGGACGATCACGAGCAAGGAGCTAGGGACGGTGATGGGGTCGCTGGGGCAGTCGCCGACGGAGGCGGAGCTGAAGAAGATGGTGGAGGAGGTGGACGCGGATGGCAGCGGCAGCATCGAGTTCGAGGAGTTCCTGGGCCTCCTCGCCCGCAAGCTCCGCGACACCGGCGCCGAGGACGACATCCGCGAGGCCTTCCGCGTCTTCGACAAGGACCAGAACGGCTTCATCACCCCCGACGAGCTCCGCCACGTCATGGCCAACCTCGGCGACCCCCTCTCCGACGACGAGCTCGCCGACATGCTCCACGAGGCCGACTCCGACGGCGACGGCCAGATCAACTACAACGAGTTCCTCAAGGTCATGATGGCAAAGTCAGTCTCTCTCTTCTTTCTTCCTCCCATTTCATTTCTTTTCTGCTTTCTTCATTTCTTTTTCTTTTCTCCATGTAGATTATTATTACTAGCACTAGAATATTAGTATTATATTTCTTCCTATTTAATCTGCAAATTAATGTTGCTTCTGCTGAACTGTAGCATTCATCATCAGATAATCATATTTATCTGAACAACTTTGGTGCTATCATATGCAGGCGAAGGCAGAATATGATGGAGGGACATGGAAGTGGAGGCCATCGGTCAAGTAACTCCCACAAGAAATCCGGCTGCTGCGGCCCGAATTCCTCATGTACCATCCTCTGAAAAAGATGTAGGTTTCAGGTTTGCAACTGTTCTGATGAGGATTGTATAGTTCAGAGTTTTTTTTGTCACCTCAATTTCTGGTTACAGTTGTTCTGGGGCTATGCAAACAAAGAAAACCAAACAACTTCATAGTGTAAATGAAAATGAATAATGCTAACCAATTAATATACTTGTTCCTCACAAGATTCTGATTTACATACAAAACTTGACACACAAAACCCATTGAGTGATCAGCTTCACTTGAGCTATCACAAGGGTTCTCTGACAAATAAGAGCAGCATTTACAACACTAGTGGAGACCAAACATAGTTTACAGGGCCACTCACATCTAATTACAGATGCAATAAACATGCTTTCTGCTTTTCCAGCCTCTAGAAATGGGAATGCTGATTCAAAAGAATGGGATGCTAAAATAGTTCACCCATTCCTCCTCTCCCAAGTTACTCTAGGAAAGTTGATTTTGAAGATCATCTGATTTCCAAACAACATCCTTTAAGGTTCTGGAGAGGTTCTTGTAGAACTGCAACACATTACAAGTTTGAAGTGATTCAGTACAAGCCATTCAACCAAATGTTGCAAAAGAAAAATAAAACATAAGTCATAATTCTGTGAGTAGTTGATCCAATCATCAAAGCACTGACTCAATTTTTCAATGATAATTCATGAATATCAGCTTTTAATTTGCACGATCTACCTTGTGAAATTCGAGGGTGTCGCCTTTTGCTTTTCGTACTTCAACCATATGAAGAGAGGGTGCAACCTGCAGTATCTGAATAATAGTGCACAATAAATGTTAGATTGAAGAAGCTTACACAAACCAGATTTCAGTATAGCAGTTTTTCATATTACCTCAGTAGCAACATTGAGATTTCCTTTTCTCCCTGCTTTTACTTTTTCTAGCCTTAACTGGTCAATCAATCAAAAAAAATTCAGCACTCAGAAAATATATATTTGAATTTGCTATAAATTATCCCTAGAACCCATTACTTTAAAAGGGATATTCATGCAGATAGTTGTTAGGCAAGGGGAGCAGATCTTGTAATTTTTCTTCTGAACATCAAATCCTAGAGGTTTTGCGGCTTCCTCAATCTTGCGGACAATTTCTTTTGGTGGACATTTTGATGTGAACCTTGTTTCCCTTTTGAATTCCTGAAATAGTGTGAACAAAATTAAAGTACAGCAGAATAAGTTGCAAAACTATAACAAAATTATGGGAGAATTATGAGGTGCAAAAATCAAAAAAATTCTGGCCAATGAACTACTACATATATTTTGGGACTTGTGACATGCAGCATTCTCCAACCATATGATTGAGTAAATTGACAAAGTGCCAGTGAGCCAGTTTACATGTTTCCAGTTAGGGGAGGTATAAGTTGAACCAAAAACGATGACGCTTAACTTTAAGTTACAGGTTCATTCATAAAAACGATACAGGGAGAATAGGTTCAAAGGGTTGTTGGTCAATATTGTGAAATAGGGAGATCACTTACCTGCTCTGAGTCAAACAAATTTCCAAGATTGAGGCCTGCTGACATTGAAATCAGTTCAAATGCATTGAGAGCTTCTGGTTCTTCTTTCTTTTCTGTCACATGGTGCTCCTGGAGGAGGTCAAATCACAGTGGTCAAACCATTTAGCAACTGGCATGCTTTTATCTTCATGTCATGTGAAACAGAAATTCAAGTGCATATTGTAGTTTACTCACTTCAGAGTCATTGAAGACAGCATCAACATCATCCAATGTCGTGTCATATTTTTCGTCAAACTCTGGGCGTTTGTAGCCCTTTTTGAACCATTCATCCTCTAATATTTCTGGAATTGTTATTCTCTACAATAGTAGCTCAAGAAGTTAGCTTAAGAAATCATCCAATGTTGTGTCACGAAGAAAGGTGGTATTATTTTATTATTTATTACTATCTGTTTGAATGATTATTATTAAGCATAGAAGAGCCTTATAAAAGGAAACTCAAAAAAAGAGCCTTATAAAAGGAGTGCTAGCCCCTGTAGAATTGAGTATTATCCGGAATGCTATGGGCATTACAAGATCTACTGTGTTATTAGAGGACACATTACAGTGCCTTCAGTGATGCATTATACCTAATTATCTACTATGTTATTCAGTTGTTCTAGCATACCGTCATTGGGTTTGGATCAAGGATTCTTGTTAACAACCTCTTGGCAGGAAAAGACGTCCAAGGTGGAAACGTAAACTCTGCATTTGATATCTGCCAGGAAGTGCAGAGAAGAATCAAATAAGCATGAACAATTAATACAACAACAATGATCTAAAAGTGGTACAATTCTCACTTTCTTATACAACGTCATAAGATTAGAGTCCTCAAAAGGCAAATACCCTGCTAGCAGAACGAACAGGATAACTCCACATGACCACAAATCTGCCATTGCTCCATCATATCCTTGATCTTCAAGGACCTATCACAAAGGTGGTTGAAATGTATGAATTATTAATGGCTTCTGGTGAAAAATAGTTCCAAATAAACTAATGGTAGGTTAAAATTCTATAATTTTTCTTTCTGACATTACCTCCGGTGCAACATAATTTGGTGTCCCACAGGTTGTGTGCAGCAAACCATCATCCTGAACAAGACCACAGAGAAAAAAGAAATATTAAATGAAGAGACATATAATGATTATCTAATGATTTCTGAACTGTAATATTTGTAGCCTGTTGGTAGTAGACCAGTGGCGGAGCCAGAATAAAATTATAGCGGGGGCTAAAACAAAATGACCAAGAGCAACTAAGAGAGATTTAGGGTTGGGTTAGGATTTTTTGGGCCTTCTTAGCCTTTTGGGCCTTCTAACAACCTTAAACAAAGTCTATATTAGCCCCTCATCTATAAATATATGGATTAGAATTTTAGGGGGGTATTATGGGGGCTCTAATGGTATATTAGGGGGTAGGGGGGGTCTAAAGACCCCCCCCCCTTCACCCCACCCCCATGCTGTCTCCGCCCCTGGTTGGTACATACTTGGATGATACAGTATAAAGCAATAAACTTTTACCTTAATTTGCTGAGATAGTGCACTCAGCCCAAAATCAGAGACCTTCAGATTCCCATATGAATCTAGTAGTAAATTTTCTGGCTGCAAGTATTGTAGTTTAGATTGTTTCTTTTGGAAGGAAGCTTAGATTCTGAAATATATTTCTTGTTGACAAAAGAGGCAGCAGAGGAAAGGGAGATGAACTCACTTTTAAGTCCCTGTGGTACACACCCCTGCTATGACAATAATCAACAGCATTAATTAATTGTTGGAAGTACCTTCTTGCCTCATCTTCCCTCATACGACCATGGTTAACCTTAAAAATACAAAAGGGAATTCAAGTAAATGTCAGTACAAATTAAAAAAGGTATTTTTTACATTTGTTTTGAAAAGAAGATATAACGATTTAAATTGGAAATGGACAACATAGCAGAAGCACTTACAATTGTATCAAAGAGCTCACCACCGGTAACATATTCTAAAACAATGTAGATATTTGTCTTGCTTCCCATCACCTGAAATCAGAGAGAACATTGATTTGACAATTAGCAGTGTCACCTAATAAAAAGATTCTGACTAATTGCATCTGGAATTTCCGTAAACAAAATTATGATTAATGATAGATACTTTGAGGTTCTGGCATGGACCCTAGACGTGCTTTAAAAACCTTTTTCTCTCCCTATCTATTTTCTGCTGAACAAATATAAGATTAACTGAGATACCAACACAAAAGGAAGAGAATAGTTTTAATTACCTCATATATACGGACAACATTTGGGTGCTTAATCAACTTCATCGTCGAAATTTCCCTTTTAATCTGCATTCCAAAAACAGTTACCCATCAGCAAAAGGTATTGCTTCCATAAACAGCTACTAAACCCTGAACAAAGTGCCAAGTTTTTTGTCCCATGAAAGTAATTAACAGGCAAAAAGAATCGGAAGGACAGTCAAATAAAGGGAAATCTGAAGGACAGGATCATAATATTCCAGATGTGAAATATCACCAAACAATTAAAGGTGCTACAATAATTCAGATTCAGAACTTGGTCGTTAGCTGGTGTTTGACAGTGACCTGTTCGACCATCTTATGCTTGAGAACTTTCTCCTTGTCTAGGATCTTGATGGCTACTGGATCACCGGTCTCGGTATCCCTCGCGAACTTGACCTTCGCGAATGTGCCCTCTCCGATTGTTCTTCCTAGCTCATACTTTCCCACACGTCTCTTCACTTTGGTTGTACTCATCCCCTGCCTTGTGACCCTTTGGAATCTCAGAGAGCTTCCACGCCCTTGAAGATGCTTTCACTTCACTGTCCTGTGGAAAACGTTTGCTCAGTTACTGTTGATACATGGAAAAAGATGAATAGATGATACATGATAAAGATGTTTTGAGTATCTGTGATTGTGTGAACAAATTTCATCCGGAGCCTATTCATTAGCTGAAAAAGATCGGAAGCCTATTACAAACTTGTCTAGTACAGGAGCACAATGACATGTATGCTGTATTTCTCATCTTATTTCTTCCCCAAAATGATATATGCACTAGTCAAATTTTAGTCTTTGAAAACATATAATAGTATCTTCTGCTACAGAGACACACATGCAAAGCTGTTGAACAATCAATTCTCCAAGATTTTACAAAGTGTAAGATACCATATGATTTGTGGACTATCAATTAAATTAATTGGTAACTATAGAAGATCATGTGAATCCATTAATTTATTTTTCCGAAAACTTGACCGATCAATTTGCAGTAAAAAAAAGGAAAGAGAGCATCATTTGGATCTGGACAGCATATTTAGTCAATGAGACACGAGGAAGCTGCAAAGAAGCTATTGAATATTCATCAAAGGTTAAGAGGGCAGGGCATATTTCCAGAAACAGTACAAATCAAGAATATTTCTTTTTGAAAGAACACAAATCAAGATCATTAAACGGGTAGAACTCTCAAACAGGAAAGGCAGGAACTTTTTTTATGTATGGATCGAGGAGCAGCAAGACGAAGAAGGTTCGAGAATGAACACATATTCAGATATTCTCAGTCGTCAGGAACTGAACTACTCCACCAAAGTAACCCTGGAAGCAGTTTCCATAGGATTACTGGTAGGGTAGAAATAATCACATCCCAGCAGCTTGTAGTTAGCAGTGATGAACCCACAGGAGTAAACGGGGACAGAAAATTTCAAGAAAGCCGAGAAAATCTCCAATGGAGACAGAAACGACAAGCTAAATTCAGCAACCTTATTCTCTCAGCACACAGCACCCAACAACATCTACAGAGATTGAAAAGGAAACAACGCACACAATGCAAAGAAAGTTGCAGAGATAGCTAGAGAGGGGATGAAAGCAATTTGGTAGGTTGGAGAAATCAAGAAGAGAAGAGGCATCAGAACAACTCACCGGCAATTAAGCTGAAATCTGCAAAGACTGCAATGCAATTCGATCTGCGGCTGCTCTTATGGCGATGGAAGAAAAGGAATAGAAGAGGAGATCCCGGGGAAGGGAAAAATGGCTGCTGAGATGCGAAGAAGAGCATGAAAGGAGAGGTTGAAGAAGAAGAAGAGGAGACGAGAGTGAGTTGGAATGAATGACCCGGGTCCGGGGTGCTTCACATGGACAAAGCTCCAAGCTGACAGACAGTGGGGCCCATGAAATGGAACGGCTGTCAGAAATGGGACCCACTGCCACACAGGAAGGAGAGAGAGAAAAGTAGGTAGTAGAGACAGCAGAGTGGAGTGATGATTCCGATGGAGATGGGTGCGCATCACAAAACATGGCTGCTTTCAGTTCCACGTGTAGATTCACCACGCCTCATTTTTTTTTATTCGATCTACTGCCTGCCATTTTCGACCTCATCTCGATCACTACTCACTTGTACCACTGTCAGGAAGTGTTTTGGTTGATTGCTTCACTTTACCTATTTTTTTCATTATCACAATTGTATCATGTCACAAATTTTTTAGACATAGGACTCATATATCATATTCTAAATGTTAGCCATATCACACTTATTTTTTTATTTTTCTTTGACAAGGGTATTTTTACCCGGTCTCTACATCCAATTGGATATATACGGCCTTCAATGGAACTTAGCCCCGCAAACAAACCAATCTGAAATTCACTCCTATGGAGATTTGAACTTAGGACCTTGGGGTACTACTCAGGCCACTGCAACCACTAGGCTACATGCCATGTCACACTTATGACCAACTATTTTCTATTTATTCTTGCCCCATATCACAACTTACCTAACCTTAGTTATGACAAGTTTAAGCATCAACCAAACATCACCTTGGTAGGGATTAGAGGTTTTCTCCCAAAAATAAAATATTGGATCCTCGTGAGAATCAACTAAGTTCCCCTCCCAAAAAAAAAAAAAGAGAATCAACTACATTCCACTGTTAGAATCTATGTTTCATAATTAAGGAGGGTTTAAAAGACTGTGTCGATAGTTTATCATGAAAGAATGAATTTACAAAGTTGTTTATGTTTTCTACATGTGTATTGTGTAGTTGAGGCTATAGCCATCTATGATGGATGACTATTTTGAAATAGCCGAAGTTAACATGAGTAGAGATGAACATAGGAAAAATTGGTTGGAGCGAAGCTACCTATTTAGTCATTAACAATTCACGAGCTCTAAAAGAAAAAAAATACAAGGTACGATTAGCGATGCAGCCTAAAGCTTTAATGAGTGGTCTCAAAAGTTAGGTAGACTAAAGTTTGAGTTTTTTAGCACAATGCAAAGTAGCCTTAGAGATAACTTCAATATTTCATTTTTACTTTACCCTATGATACTTTTTATTTTAGTCCTCGTTTTCTTAACTTCATGAAAATCCAAACTTTTACAGCTTCCTAAAATCTCTCTCCCACCCCTTCCTCTCCCCATCACCCACTATTTCTCTCCATTACTTCCTCTCTCTCTCTCTCCCTCCCTCCCATCTACGTCATCGGCACCCAACTATTGTCCTCTACACCGCTCCCGCATGCCGTCATCGTCCTCTCCTCCCACCGATCACCACTAGCATCCTCTCCTCGTTCTCGGATTGGGAGGGGAGCTCAGTGAGAGAAGCTCGATGGTGGTAATGAGTTCAACCTTAGTAGATCGGGCAACGGTGTCGACTTCTGTGACGGACGAAGCTAGCACAGATCGAGGCGGCCCTTCTTCTCCTTCCTCTAATGAGTGCAAATCGAGACAGTGTGAGCCGATGATGTAGTGTATGGAGCAACAAAGGCGGAGGTTGGACCACAGCTTTTTCTCTCTCAAATCACCATGTCCTCTATAGGCTACGTAGCCTCTTTGCAAGCCACACTCTGTTTCTACTCTCTGTATCTCTCTCTGTTTCATAGTAGCTCGGCACCAGTGTGGATTGGTGAAACTGTGCTCCAAATGTTGGGCATGGCCTAAAGAAATGGCCACGAGCCTAAGTGCAGTGAGATGAGATGTTAGATAACACTAATTAGTACTTTCTCTATTTCGTTTTCTAATAGATGACGCTGTTGATTTTTTGATACATATTTGATTATTCATCTTAATCAAAATTTTTGTGCAAATCATAATATATAAATTATACTCAAAATAAATTCAATGACAAAACAACTCACAACAAAATAAATGATAATTATGTAAACATTTTAAATAAGACAAACGGTTAAACTTGTGCCAAAAATCAACGCCATCGTGCATTAAAAAACAGAAAACATGATATTTATATGATATGTTAGTTTGTTTTAACTGATATGGACATATATCGAAGATTATAGTTTCTTCTAGCTCATTGACCTTGCGCTTAGTATTTGCAACATCCGTCGATGCGTATCTGGATATGCACGACGTCGCGAGACGCCCGTTTTTTTTGACAAATTGACCCTTTTCAAAAACTTAATTCGAAACTAACCCCTGCCAAAAACTTCAACCAAAACTAGGCCGTCGGCTCAGCGCCAAGCGTATTGGCGCTGAGGTTGGCCGTGTCAGCGCCAACGGGACTGGCGCTGACATTGTGCCACCGTGGCGGCCGGGCCGATCCCCTAGCTGACGTGGCAGCTACCTCAGCGCCAACCGCTTTGGCGCTGAGGTGCCCAACCTAAGCGCCAAGTAAGTTGGCGCTGACCTTGGCTACTTAGAGCCCGGCCGAGGCCGCTCCAGCCAGTTCTTCCTCCGTTTTTTCCCCAGCCGCCCGCCTAGGGTTCGGTCGCCACCGCGTTCTCCTCGCCCAATCTCCCCCAAAAACCTCTCTAATCGAAGGTGATTTGTGCGGCATTGAGTTTGGGATCGGAAGAGAAGGTAAACCCCTCTATAAACCCTAAGTTCCCCAAAGTTTTATTGGATATTTTGCATTGTTTTGGTTGTAGACGTGGTTTGATAATAGTTGGCTAAGGATGGATTATTAGATGGATAATATGGGTGGGGATGAAGTGTGGAGGTGGCATATCTTTATCCATTTGGTTGTTATTGATACATTTGACAAAATATATTTGGGATGGATGTTTGGTGATGCACTAGGGTTTGATGGGAGATGGATGTGTGGTGATGGCCTAGGATGTGGGATGGATTTGTGGTGATTGAGAGGGTTTGAAAGGGGTTGATGTGTGGTGAAGGGTAGGTAATTTGTAGGAGTAGAGTTTTTTTTTATCAATAATGTGTAGTATTTGAGTAATGTACTTATTTATTGGAAAAATTAGACATGTTGTTAGCTTTTGAAGTATTGGTATTGCAATGGTAATTACATATTATTTTCAAGTAATTAATGTTTATGCATGGGTTAAAAATTGTAGATGGATAGATTGGTCCGGCTTCATTATGGTGGTTGTGTGGTAGATGAAAGTACACATGGAAGCCAATTTGAGGGAATGACAGTTAGACAATTAGTGTTTTTTGCGAAGCCTACCTTTGAGGAGTTAATGTCTCGCATCAAGCATGAATTGGATTGGAATGATGAGTCGGTTGGTATGCAAGGGAGATACGATGTGGGCGGCGGTGTCATGTCACATAAATTTATGTTAGACTTGAATGGAGAGATCGAATGGCAAACATATATAGATATAGTATTGGGGTCACATTTCAAATCTCTTGAGGTGTTTGCATGGAAGAAAGATGGTAGGATAGGGAAGAAAGAACTTATAGACCTTAATGAAAGTCAACTCATAGAATCACCCATTAGCTGTCACGAACTGTCGGAGAGGTGTAGTAGGAAGGAAGAATTGATTGAGGAAGACGTGGAGGGGGGCGAGGGAGTAAATGATATGGCGGATGTGGAGGTCAGGGAAGAGAATGACCCGGTAAGGGAGGAAGTACATGCAGAGGAGAATGTGCCGTTAAGGGAAGAAGTACATGCAGAGGACAATGTGCCGTTAAGGGAGGAAGTTAATGTGGAGGAGAATGTGCCGTCACCAGAGTCGTCACAGAGTCGTCACAGAGTCGTCACAGCCGGATATCTCGCAGCCCGGCCCGTCTCGACCACGACGCCGGCGGGCTCCTTCGCAGGACTGGAGGTACACCCCCGACGTGCCTCGTCCTCGCACTAGAGGTAGGAGGAGGTGAGTGCATGGTTCAATGGATGGATGGATAGATGGATGGACTTGATGCATGGTTCGATGGATGTATGGACTGGATGTATGGACTCGACTGGATGTATAGACGAGGATCGATGGGATGTTTTTATTTCTTATATATATGGACTTCATATATGGATGTATTGATGGATTCTATGGATGTATGGAATGATGTTGGGATTGATGGATGGATGTATGTTTTGTATGGTTCTCTGGATATATTACTGCCTGTAAATTTCTGTGATTTGATGTTTGCCTGTGTTGTGTGTAAAGTTTTGCTAAAGTTTAGCAGGGCTGGGACGTCAGCGCCATGCTAAATGGCGCTGACATGTCCAAACTCAGCGCCAGTGCACCTGGCGCTGAGGTCCCAGCCCAGCCATCCAGAAGGCTTGCTGGGCTGGGCCACGGCCGAAACGGCCAAGTCCAACCTCAGCGCCAGGTGGGCTGGCGCTGAGTTTCCCACAGTCAGCGCCATTATGGATGGCGCTGAGGTCCCAGCCCGCAAGCCATCCAGAAGGCTCGAAACGGCCAAGGCCCACCTCAGCGCCAGGTGGACTGGCGCTGAGTGTCCCACGGTCAGCGCCATTATGGCTGGCGCTGAGGTCCCAGCCCGCAAGCCATCCAGCAGGCTTGCTGGTCTGGGCCTTGGGGGTTGCGGCCAAGTCCCACCCTCAGCGCCAGGTGGGCTGGCGCTGAGTGTCCCACGGTCAGCGCCATTATGGCTGGCGCTGAGGTCCAAGCCCGCAAGCCATCCAGAAGCCTTGCTGGTCTGGGCCTTGGGGGTTGCGGCCAAGTCCCACCTCAGCGCCAGTCCGGTTGGCGCTGAGGTAGCTGCCACGTCAGCTGGGGATCGGCCCGGCCGCCACGGTGGCACAATGTCAGCGCCAGTCCCGTTGGCGCTGACACGGCCAACATCAGCGCCAATGTGTTTGGCGCTGAGCCGACGGCCTATTTTTGGTTGAAGTTTTTGGCAGGGGTTAGTTTCGAAATAAGTTTTCCAAAAGGGTCAATTTGTCAAAAAAACGGGCGAGACGCGAGCTAGTTTGTACGTACGAA